ATGAAATAAATAGTAAATACAGAGGATTGACCAATCCATACTCTGCCTACAAATGCACTCTGTCTACTGTACTGCCACTGTTGCACGGTTGGACCAGCTTTAGAATGTTTCCTCAAGTAATCAAGCTACACCTTGTCTGAGCAATATTGGGAGAAGGTGCGAACATCTGTGACTGAATCATTCAGATTTATCAAGACGAAGACATTACTTACTAGACATGACCTGACTAGTAAGTGTTATTAAATGTCTTATTAACAGAACTTAAAGAATAGGAGAATATTTTAACAGCAAATTGTGAGATGATGACTTCAAACTTAAATCATGGAAGTGACAATAAATCTGTCTTGTCTCTTTTTACTTAAAATTGCAAGCAGGACTCAATTAAAAGTTACCCATTTCATTAACTGAAAAGGAAGAAATTGTCAAACCTACTCATTATTTACTTGAGTACATCTTTTCACTCATTCTAATTACTGAATTTCAACATTAAGTTTTACAGTGTGGGATCTAATGATCTAATAATTTAAGGAACTAATGTCCATCTTTTTTAACCCTCTGTCACCAGGTAGCTTAATTTTATTACTATAAGGCCCCTGCTGAAAAAACACCATTAGGATTAAAACCTGATGGTTTTGCTATCTTTTGGGAATTGGCTTAATGGTTACGATTAGAGACAACTAGTTTCCTGTATGACACCTTTAGATATCCATTTTTGTGTTTTTCGTATTTTTGTATCATTTTAAAACTCCTTCAATGGTCCAAAAATACTTGGGAAAAAAATCTTGCTACATTAACTTCCATTAAAAGTTAACATTTTTTCTTCTTCTGTAATGTTACCATTTGTTCCTACAATGTTGATATGTTCATAGCCTGTTCACTGAGCACAAAATCCCTTGTTTATCCACATCAGGGTTTTTGCAGTCACCAACCCATTAGCAGAGCATGTTCTGAACAATCATCAGTCGCCCCTCATTAAGAAATTCTTCACCACCTCCACTAATTCCACTGTCGCACTAGAGGTACAGATCCGGACGTAGGCAGTATGGCCTGGCATTTTCAGAGCAGGCATATGTGTCCTCCTGAAAAAAGCCTGACCTTATGCCCTCACCCTTGTCCAAAGGTAGTGGATTTTGTGGATAAAGCCTGTTGGACAGGGATGAGAGGAGGGCTGAGAATAGCGCTGCTGCCCAATAACGCTGCTAGCGGTCAGGAATCCCAGGCTGACCCTGTGGCCCTGGGCCCAGAGAGATTGTGTGCGTGGCTGGAGGATCACCCATACAACTGCCAGAGGGAGACACACCACACATACACACACCCATCAGCACTACACTTCGCCACCTAGTTAGAGCACCAAGAAGAGCACCAAACACACACCCATTACACTCCCATCTCCTTCATCACTGCACATTCGTACACATGAGGTTGTACAGGACTCTGATGTTGTCATCTTTCTAAACTGGGTGTGTTTATCAGTAGCTATGTTAAAGTATTTTTATGAAAGATTTATTATCATGAAATACTATATGGCATATATTTAGCTTTTTGATCTCCTCCCTGTTTATTAGTTTGAATATCTTACCATGCTGTATGTTATTTGTCATTATGTTTAAAAAAGCAAGTGAGATGCAGATGTGTAGCAGTCTATGCATATCCATTTCTTAAGCACACAAAGTTGAGATTAGAGCTAAACCAATTTTTGTCACTGATATGGATAAATCATAAACGGATGAATTAATTTTTAAACAGGATCATGAATTTTAATATCCAGAAAAAGTCTCTCTGGGTGGTGAAGATGGTGCAACCACACATTAGACTATCATTTAAAGTAATTATCCCCACTGAAAATGTATATGAACTAGTCTTTGTACTTGGACACCCATATAAAGCTTTGTACTTGAACTCAAGTTTATCCAAGTATTTTTTCAAATTAATAGACATTATTATAATAATAACAAATTTTCATGGTTTTCCTGGGGTCGTACCATCTGACTTGGTAAACTGAACCGGTCTAACTCTGTCTCAAAAATGACATGACAAAAAAATGAAAGGGCTACTGACTGTAGCATTACACCATAATGGTCAGTCGGGGTGTTTTTTATGTTATGTATCCTGCTCACTCTTTCTTAAAAGTAGATCTGAATAAAAGTCCTCTGTTTTCAGTTGTGCCACAAGAGGTTAGAGGAAATCAGAATTAATAGACAAATGTTTTGCAATGCAGTGAATACTTTAAAGCTGCCCTATTTTGCAGAAAATTATGCTATTAAATGTGGTAAACATAAAATCATGCCAAAATATTTTATTTAAAATTGTAAATTTAATTAAAAATCCTTTTTTTACTAGTTTGCTTAATCTGCATATGGTTGGACAGTTACACCACCTGCCATTTTTGAAACAAATTTTATTTTGATGCACTGAAAATGTAGTCACATAATGGGAGTATTGTAGAACAGTATCATATTTATTTGATGGGAAAATAACATACAGAGACTAAAAACACACATCATGTCAGTGACCCAAATTTAATCAAAATTAATTTACACAGTCTGAAATAATTTAACCATTATAGTACTGGGGTGGAGCCTTCCAGGATTCATTTGTTGGTTTCTTTTCATTAGCTTTTATTATTCTTAAATACAAGTAACAAAGGTAGACAATTGGTGGCTATTGATGTAGCAGTTTCTGACTGGTGTAAGAGCCAGTGGTTTTCCATTTCCTCATCTTAGAAGTATTTCATTATAGTGTAAAACAAGCTTATACAGTGCTGTGAAAAAGTATTTGCCCCTCATGATTTCTTCTATTTTTGCTATTTTTGAATATTTGTCACTTTGTTTCAGATCTCTCAAACAAAATGTATTATAAGACAAAGACAATGTGAGTGTCAACAAAATACATTTAACTTTTACAGGGAAGGTACAAATACTTCTCCATGGTATTGTAAATATCACTGCTTTTTTGAATTTTTGCTGTAACTGGCCTTGTAGGGGCTAATTACAGCAGGTGTGGTCAGTTCCTGTTCTTAAACATACCTACTAAACCTGGTAACTAACTAAGAAGTTGAATTTAATGAATGTATTTGAGCAAACTGTGCTGGACTCCAGGACCAGAGATACCCAGGGACACCCTTGAATTAGAGCCTGTATCATAGGCATTACATGAAACAGTGGCTGAGTGTGACCTTCTCATTGCTGCTACTAATGCTATTTCTATTTATTCAAAGCATGGGCTGTGGTTGAGGCAGGTTAGAGTTTGGGAGGAAGCTCAGCGATCCTCTGAGATCAAAGTGCAGGGTGGTATGAGGCAAACATGAAGTAATTTATGGGTTTGCTCTGTGTGTCACTCATACTCTCAACCCCACCCAACCCCCACCCTCCCTTACCCCCCCATGCGCTAAACATGCACTTCCACTTGTTCTCATAGAGGGCAATGATGTCAGCACGTCCTCATAACCCCAGATTTATATCTAAAGTCAACCAGTTTCTCCCCTCCCCACCCTGCCTCTCTCGCCCTCACCCTCTCTCTGTTTCCCTGTCTCTTTCATTCACTCTGAGGTCACCTGATATTCATGTGTCAAGTGGTGTTGTCCTGTCTTTGTAATGTAAAGCTATGTGAATATGTGCGGTACCACAGCAAACATCCGCAGTAAAGCGCATTGCTGTGATTGGCGGCATTGCTCTGTGCGGATAAGCTCTGGGAGTGGGTACAGGGACAGTAAGAGGCGTTTAGCACGTGGCCGGCTTGCATGCTCAGACAGCTGAACTCATCTTTCATCTCCACACCTGCTCCCATCCCTTGTTCCCCTCAGCAATAGAGACAGAGAGATAGAGAGAGAGAGAGAGAGAGAGAGAGAGAGAGAGAGAGAGAGAGAGAGAGAGTTGCACAGAGATTACTGCCACCTGCTGTATGACAGAGAGAGAAATGAAGCAGGGCCTGTATGCATAAGATTAGGGCCTTTAATCTCAGACTAAGCATGCTGATCTAGGAGCAGATTCTTCTTTTGTTTAATGCTAATCTCAGTCACAAGCACAGCTCTTAGACCAGCCCTTAGAGCTTATGAAGCTGAAGTACATTGTTCCCTGTTTCCTTTGCTCCTACTTGTTCTAATCTACTTCTGCCAAGAAGTGCTTCAGTCAATCAACAATAAAATGAACTTTGGATGTAATTGACTGGGTAATGCATTAAACAGTGCATTGAAAGAACAGTTCAGATTGACAGATTGCCACATTTTTCCCCTTACTCCAATGTAGTTCATCAGCCAAGACATATCCGGTGTCAGAAGCTTGCTTCTCTGGGAGGCTAATGTAGCTAAGAAGTAATGGTACCTTGTGTCTACCAGTTAGCACTGTGCAAACTACGTGCCTAAATCATCACTCTCTTGCCTCAATCCATTAATAGTAATCTTGAATAGACCTGATTATGTTATTTCTGACTCTGTATGACATTCTGTTATTAATAAAATGTGCAAAAATGTGACATGATTAAGAACAGTTGTAGCAGCCATCTTGATGCCTGAATCTTGGCCCATTTTTGTCTATTATTGAATTAGGCATTCAGCTTGTTAGTTGATGTAGTAAAAGCGTCCATTACTTGTTAGTTACATAAGCCTTGTAGCGCTGGAGCAAAACTAAAGAAGCAAACTTCAGATATGACACGTGACTACATTTCAAGTAATGGGATGGGAAAATAGGAAATAGTTTTTTTAACTCCTGATGTTTGGTTTGTCTGACAAGGGCTAACCACTTAAAATCCCAGATTTATTACATACGAATGCTTGTATTCAGTAACTACAGGGACCTCAGTGCAAACTAGTTGAGCTATTATTAAGTGTGTAATAAAATTTTGTCAATTTAAGGGACTTCTTAGTCTGGGGCTATATTTTCTTTCAATTGAGAATCTCCATTTGCCCAGGACTAGGCTTAATCTCTGTTTGGGAAATCAACTCAAAGAGTTAACTGGCTTTAAAACCCTCAAAGCTGACATTTTCTCACCCATCTGTCTTACAGAGCTGCTGGAAACAAGGACCATCCGGCCATTCAGCTTCTCCTTCAACACCAGCGATTACCGCATCCTCCACATGGACCAGGACCAAGGCCGGCTTTACCTGGGCAGCCGCGAGTATCTGGTCTCCCTGGACATGCAGAACATCAACAAAGAGCCACTCATTGTAAGACATACAACAACGTTTAGTTGTTTAGTTGTCTTTGTTGTACATGTTTTACTTATGTAAATCAGTGCATAAATGTATTTAGGTGACCTATAAATAACTCTATGTTTGATCTTAGATCCACTGGCCTGCTACTAGCCAGAGAAAAGGAGAGTGCAGGATGACAGGGAAAGGAGGACAGGTGGGTCTGTCATTAGCCCTGGGTATCTTATAAATGCTTAGCTGGTTAAATTTGTGAATGAGTGATGAAATCCTCATGCCTGTAACTGTGCCTCAGATGATATTTCCATGCACAGTTGAAGTTGAGGATGAAGTGAATCCTCAGGTGGGCTATCTTTTCTCTCCCCTACACAGGGAGAGTGTGCCAACTTTGTGCGTCTGATCGAGCCGTGGAACAGAACTCATCTGTACACGTGTGGCACTGGAGCTTACAAACCCGTCTGTACCTTCATCAACCGGGGCTGGAAGGCTGAGGTAGCTACACATACACATCGCTGCTGTCGGAACAAACCTCAAATCTCCATTATTGTCCATTATTTTCAGTTTTTGATATCATTTGAAAGTGCCTGTTGTCTTTTACTTTGTGTGTGTAAGTTTCATGATGAATGATGACTTGGAAAAAAGTTGCACTGACTTACATTGAAAGTAAAGTTTTTTCCTTCTCCTAAAGTTGAAGTAAAGTTATCATTTTGGAGATGAAAAAAAGGACAGACAATATGCATGTTTATACACTTTTACAATTCAAACTGAAAAACATTAATTAAAATTGTTGTTTTCATATAAAAATAATACTTCACAATCTGTGAACCACTGCTGTGATATTTTTGCTGTTTTTCATATATGACTAAAATTCATTTGAATAAAAATTCTGAAAGAAGATCATAACAGGACTAGAACAAAAAGTTGATTTCTATGTATTCTATGTTTATACTTGAGCTCATTTTCATGGCTTCAAATTTATGGGACACCAACTGCAGTGGTAGATTGACCAAAATGCTGTGATGCATACTTTGTATTGTGAAAATGTCTTAAAGTATTGTGATATTACATTTTATTAAAATCGCCCAGGCCTATTTTGGATATGTTTTGCAACACTCTTTTTCAAACTTTCTTTTTCAAACTGTAATCAAAAACGCACACTGAAAATCCTTTGGCTCAAATTTGGTTTAAACAGCTGAAAGATTTGAGAGATGATTAGAGCTGACATCACAGCAACAGGATAAAATGTGTGGGCTTTGATATTATTGCACAGGTTCTGTAGAACTTTAGTCAGTTGTCTCTTTAGCTTTGCTAAACAACTTTCTATTTAATACAATACATAAAGTTGTTGTGACCTGACAAAGAAAATATACTTGTTAACAAAAATATGGTGAAAAGCTGTGTCCCCAACTTTTGATGGCCGGTGCAAATATCACTCTTGATCACAGTGAAGTACCAGTCAGGTTTTTTCATCCTCTGTGTGTGTGTGTGTGTGTGTGTGTTCAGGAATACCTTTTCCGTCTGGTTCCTGGTTATGTGGATTCTGGAAAGGGAAAGTGTCCGTATGATCCACGGCAGGAAAACGCTGCTGTTCTTATCAGTAAGCCTGCACTCTCTCAACCCTCTGAAGTTCAAAACAAATGGGCTGCTGTGATGGAGTCATGCTTCATTAATGCTGATTCATTTCTTTCTCCACTCCCTTGTCCTCCTTTGGCAGATGGTAACCTGTATGCAGGGGTGCATGTGGACTTCATGGGGACAGATCCAGCCATCTTCAGGACGCTGGGAGACAGACCTGCTGTCAGAACAGAGCAGTACGACTCCCGATGGCTGAATGGTATGATGTGAACAGAAAGATGAATGTACAGTATACAGAGAAACCTGGGTATTAAACTTGGGTACAGACATTAATGCTGATAAGGCTGGATGTCTGTTCAGATTAAGCTCTACCTTCAAATCTCTCTCTCTCTCTCTTTATCTCTCTGTCTGTCTCTCTTGCTCTGTTTCACTCTCACTCTCCTAGAGCCTGTGTTTGTAAAAATCCAGAAGATTCCAGATAGTGCAGAAAAAAATGACGACAAGTTGTATTTCTTCTTCCGGGAGAAGAGTTTGGACGCAGCAGGGGGCAGCACCCCCAGTGTGCTGGCCAGAGTGGGCAGAGTCTGTCTGGTGAGAACTCCAAAAATCTATTAAAAGACATATGACAATAGGACTTTCATTGTCTGAGGTCAAAATTTCTAGATCAGCATTTACGAGTTTTACAAACAAGAACAGTGCCTGCTATGGCTGCCTGCACTGCCTGTTGTTGTGTACATAATGATTACAGTACTGTGCAAAAGACCACCCTATCTTTTATTTAATTTCCAGTCAAAGCAGCCATTAGGTACAAGTTATTCATTTTTCAGCGTCAGGGAAAAGCAGAAAATGACACAGAAGCCTCAACATTTTTTTAGAGAGTCCACCCTTTGTCTTTATTATAGTGTTTATTCTTTTTGGGAGACTTGCTTTGAGTTTTTGAAAGAAATCTGCAGGGATATTTTTCCATATCTCTAAAATTCAGTCTTAGAAGTTGGTTGGATTTTCTGCCTCTCATAATCCAAATAATCACAATTACAAATTTATACTCACCAGTCCATAAAACCCATAAAACATCTTAGATGTCCAGTTTTGCTGTTCAAGTGCAAAAGCTTTGTCTATTTCCTTTTCTTGACAGCTACACATCCTTTCAGACTCATAGTGCTGAGTTACCTTCTCACAGTGGAAGGATGGACGGAAACACCTGTGGATTTTTTTAAGATCTGAAGCAAGAGTGGAGCTTGATTTTCTCCTCTCTCTCAAAGATAAAAATCTTATGTATTGTTTTAAATGTCTGATGGTGACAGTTTTGGTGGTTTTCTCAATTTCTCAATTCTTATTTTTTAGCTTTTGCTTTTACTTCCTTTATGCAAGTAGATTATTTTATATGTACGTATAATGAGAAAGAAATCTGCTAGGCAGCAAAGCTATATTTGGATAGTTGCTTGTTTGAATGTTAATGTCTCTTCGAAGGGGAACATAATGTCAGCAGCTCTTTTTGGGGCAACTTTTATTGGGAGGACACAGCTGTAACTCATTGGTTTCAAGATTGAAGAGATGAAGGCTGTGTGTTTTTTTGTTTTGAGTGGAAGTTGAAGAAACAAAGGGTGGTTTCTTCCTTTTACAGAAAGCTGTATGTATGGGTTATAAATATCTCATGAAATCCTTATGTAGGAACTTAAAAAAGAGACTACTGACATCTAGAAAAAAGAGAATAAGCAATTATTATTCTCAAACACATAAACGAACAAGTATATTTTAGATACTGATTTGTAGTTCTGCATGTATTCTAAAGTTCTGTCTTCTCTTACCTCTTATATTTTTACCTTAGAATGATGATGGAGGCCAAAGGTCACTGGTAAATAAATGGACAACTTTCCTGAAGGCTCGTCTGGTCTGTTCTGTAATTGGAGCAGAAGGAGTTGAGACATATTTTGATGAGCTGAGTAAGAGACTTTGTTATTCTTTCCTCCTTTATTCTCCAATGATGTAATGATATACATGTTATTGCTCTTGTGGTTCCACTAGAGTGAACTGCTTCAGTGAAAGATTAATATGTTTATGTTTTAGGGGATGTTTTCATTCAGCGGACTCATGATGAACGCAACCCCACCGTGTACGCTGTGTTCTCCACTGCTGGGTAAAGACTTAATCTAATCCAGTACCTTTGACGTCACATTGTCCAATGAGTAACTCTAGTTAGTGATCATAATCTGAAGCAATGGTTCAGTAAAAAATCTAATTTGCAGTTTTCCCTCAACTCCAAATGTGGTCCATCAGCCAAGACATGTTTTTTCTTTAGTTTTCCCTGAAGGTTAATGTACCTCACAAGTAATGGAAGTTTATAACCCAACATTAGCATCATACAAGCTGCACGCCTAAATCATCAAACACTTCAAGGGGATTTTCAGCATAACTCATTTGTTGAGATGTAAACAAAGTTATTCAGAGTGTCTTAATATGAAATGGTTATTTGCAGAGACATTTAATGACTCTTGATTTTTTTACAGTGGAGTTGATAAGAACCAGGGGTCACAATGCCCACAGTGTAAATATCTAAAATAACTAGTTAACCTACATGAGTCTTCTGAGTTTTCATACACTATGGCCAAAAGTATGTGGACACCCATTCTAATTATTGAGTTTAGGTGTTTCAGGCACATCTATTGCTAACAGGTTTATACAATCAAGCACATAGCTATGCAATCTCCATAGACAAACACTGGCAGTAGAATGAGTCATACAGCAGAGCTCAGTGACATTTAAACATGGCACAGTCATAGGATGACACCTTTGCCACAAGTCAGTTTGTGAAATTTCTGCGCTACTAGATCTGCGCTGGTCAACTGCTATTATTGTGAAATACAAGTGTATATAAGCCACTCAACCACAAAGCGGCATACCACACAAACTGACAAACTCACACACAAACTAAAACACATAGCACATAAAAATCTTCTGCATCACTCACTACAGAGTTCCAAACTGCCTCTGGAAGCAACATCAGCACAAGAACTATGTGTTAAGAGCCTTATGAAATGTTTTTTCTTGGCCCTTTCTTGAAGAGTGGTTTAAAGCATGGACTCTAAGCAGAACTCTAAGCAGTGGTAACATGTTCTTTGGAGTGATGAATCATGCTTCACTGCCTGGCAGACTAATGGACAAATCTTATGGGTTTGGCAAAGTTTGGTGGAGGAGGGATAATGGTCTGGGGCTGCTTTTCAGGGTTTGGGCTCAGTCCCTTAGCCAGGGAAAGGTATTGTTAATGCTACAGAATACAAAGACATTTTAGACAGTTATATGCTTCCAACTTTGTGGCAGCAGTTTGGGGAAGGCCCTTTCCTGTTCCAGCGTGACTGTGCCCCTGTGGACAAAGCAAGGTCCATAAAGACGTGGTTTGATGAGTTTGGTGTGGAGGAACTCCAGTGGCCTGCGCAGAGCCCTGACCTCAACCCCACTAAACACCTTTGGGATAAATTGCAACATTGACTGCGAGCCAGGCCTTCTCATGTAAAATCACTGCCTGACCTCACAAATGCTCTTTTAAGTCAAAGGGCACAAATTCCCACAGACACACTCCAAAATCTTGTGGAAAGCTTTCCTGGAATAGTGGAGGCTGTTATAGAAACAAACATAGCAAATAGAGAATCAGTTCTATATCAATGCCCAGGGTGTTGGATAGGAAATATCCTACAAGTTCATATAGGTGTGGTGGTCAGGTGTTCACATATCTTTGGCCACATAGTGTATGTAATGTTGGTAAGGGTAAAATAGCAGTGAATCTGAGTTTTCTTTGTGAGCTATTTTGCTTTACAATGCCCTGCCTGTACCTTTCCACTGTGAATGCTTTTAAAAATATGTTTTTGTCCAAAACCTGTGAACAGTTTTGACTTTGTAAGATTCTTGGAGCAATTCACATCATTCTGTGTCTGTCTTTGTTTACATCTTAGCCGTTTAATTATGAAGAGGTTTTTGAAAAATTGGTGGAATCCCCCTTTAAACTGCAAGTTAGTTGACATAGACTTGTTTAAGTGATTTCTCGCACTACATGAAGAAACCTGTGTCGTATAGCTAAAAACAAGTAGTTCCATTTGTCTAATAGCTCCAGTGTGAATAAAACTTCAAATGCTAAACATGTTTTTGCTGATTGACTACATTCAGGGTAAGGGGATAACTATGTCAATGTGATTTTTTGCCCACCATCACTTTGCATGTACACTGCATGGTGGTTTATTCCACAGTGTGACAGGCTCTAATGCTCTTTGTCTCTTTTTCTTTCACACTCTGTCTCTCTAGCTCTGTGTTTAAGGGTTCGGCAGTGTGTGTGTACTCCATGGCCGACATTAGAAACGTCTTTAATGGACCCTTCTCCCACAAACATGGACACAACTACCAGTGGACTCCTTACACTGGAAAAATACCCTACCCCCGTCCTGGCACGGTGAGCACCGCCAGTGTGGTTTTATTTCTTCAGTGGCATATGGGGCCAAGTACAAGCACTGAATAATGTAATCCTGACCAGTAGATTCATCATAAATCATCAAGGACATTGATTAACCTTCAAGATGAAGCTTTTTATCACATCAGACTCGCAGTAGCATTTCATTTCAAGCTAATCCTCTTGAAATACTGTACTCGTGTACTTGTGTGGATTTATGGTTGGTATTTCTCTGCTTTTTCTCTGTTTGAACTCAGTGTCCTGGAGGAACATTTACGCCTGGCCTCCACACCACCAAAGCCTTCTCTGACGAGGCTATCAACTTTGTGCGTGCACACCCTCTCATGTATCATCCCATATACCCTACCCACAAGCGCCCCCTGGTGGTACGGACCGGCGTGGACTACCGCTTCACCACCATCGCTGTGGACATGGTGGATGCTGTAGATGGGAGATATGAGGTGCTCTTCCTGGGGACAGGTAAGACATTTCTGAACATATTACAGTTCAGAGAAATCCTAGTGGAGAGTTGAGTCATGAATGTCTACTCCCAAAGTTATCTAAATATACGATTATTCTAAAAGGCTAAACAGTGTTGCTGAATAATTTGCAGTTATTGCCAGCAATAGCAAAAGCATGTTGTGAATTCATATTAATTCACTACGTTCAAAAAATTGTAATCATTTGTCCTGTTAATAATTGCTGATATTTTTGTCAGTAATAACTTATTATGCACTAAATTAAAATACTATTGCGAGACACCAAAGATATTTTAAGATGGTTTTTATTCAGTTTTATTGTATTTTTTTGGGAACATCAGTATCTATTTCTAGTAATTTCTTGTTGACAAGTTTTCTGCCTTGAGATTTGATTACCACTACATTTTTAATGTTATACAGCTTCCTCACACATTATGACATCATCTTTTTAAAGCTTTCTGTAAAGTTGTAGAGTAGTAGCATAATGAAAGAAAAAATTGATACATCATAATAACAATAATAATAATAATAATACACAACAAATTAGCTTCATATCATTGAAAACTGTGATTTCAAATTTTTAAATTCTTACTAATACACAGAAATATAAATATAACAATATTTCATTTTGTGTAAAGAAAAGCCATGTTTTTGACATTTTTGGCACTGAAATGGAAAAAAGTCAGAGATGCAGACTCAAATCTGGTTATATTCAAAGTAAATCAATTGTAAATGTCATTAATTACATAAGTGTGTTATGTGATTACATTTAAATAGCAAGGCAAAATGACAATAATAACTCTAGATTCTGAAGGGTTAAAGAATAAACCGTTGTCCTTCTGGAGACCCCTGTTTTATTTCAAAGTCCTTGGTTAAATTCTCAAAAGTGGCATTTCTCTTGCTCTCTGTTAGATCGAGGAACAGTCCAGAAGGTGATCGTCTTGCCAAAAGACACAAGCACAACAGAAGAGCTCATTCTGGAAGAGGTGGAGGTTTTCAGGGTAATTACACAATATAATGTGTTCTATTTTGTTTTTTAATAACCCACATAGCTCTTAAAATGAAGACAGCATATTGAATTTGACAACTTTTAGATTACACATAGCAACTGAATGTCTGTTACTGATGTTTTTCAGACTCCAGCACCAGTGAAAACTCTGAAAATCTCCACTAAAAGGGTATAATTTTTTTTACAATCTCCAAATGGAGCACTTATTCCTTACAATAGTGTACGGTAGTTTTATAAATATACAGAAACGATGACACAACTTACAGCACAGTTAATTATTCATGAAAAGCCAGTCGGCGTTAAAGAATCCTTAGCGGGTTGCAGAATTAAACAGTCCCTGTTCTGCAATGTTCTTTGTGTTTTGACTGTCGCCTTTGTCTCCACTGCGGATTACAGCAACAGCTGTATGTGTCATCGGAGCGGGGTCTTACCCAGGTGTCTCTACACCGGTGTGCTGTGTATGGTAAAGCCTGCTCTGACTGCTGCCTAGCTAGAGACCCCTACTGCGCCTGGGACGGAGAGACGTGCTCTGCTTTCACCCCTGCCACCAAGAGGTCTGCACACTGCTCTTTACCTGCACATGCTGTTAGTGATCGCTGTGACATAAAAAAGTGTCCTTTCTTTGTTGTTGTTTAGGCAACTTTTTGTTACTTAAAAAAACGTGACAAACTCCTAAATTTTATAGCGTATAATTTTTTTTCAACATTATTTGTGTATGATTGGTGTTGCAGCTGTAACTTCAGATATGTGATACTGAAAATGTCTGTGGATTATTCCTCAGGAGGAGCAGGAGACAAGATATCAAACATGGAGACCCGTTACGCCAGTGCAGGGGCTTCAATTCTAAAGGTATGTCTGATTAGGAATGGACTGGGACATGCAAACTGTTGAGGTGGAAATGTACTGAAAAAACAGAACACTCTGAATTTACTCAAATACATGATATCATCATAATTTTTGCCAAAAGTAAGCAGACTGAAAGACAAAATAATGTGCATTTGGATCAAGTAAATTCAGTGCATCACATTTACAGTGTTTGACACTATAAAAGCTATTTTTGAATTCCTTGTATCCCTGTATTTTGGTTTCTGTTTTTGTATGAGCACAAATAAGTGCACATGCTCCCCTTCATTCCCTGTAAGTGGTTTATAGTTCTGGGAACTAAAAAAACTTAAGCCTAACCTCACAAAGTAATCATCACTATAAAGCCAAAGCAGTGGAAAACTCACCATTTCTGATGTATTAGTTTTTCTGGGAAAGCTCCATTAGAGAGTTTTACAATTAAACAGAAAAATAACAGAAAGTGATTAGGTGTGTAAATATGTCCTGTCTCTTGTTCTCTCAGTAGAGAAGCGTCTGAGGGAGACAGTACAGTTTGGTGTGGAAGGCAGCAGCACATTTCTGGAGTGTCAGCCCAGGTCTCCTCAGGCTACTGTGAAATGGCTCTATCAGAAGGATGGCAAACGCAAAGCAGTAAGATTCCCACCCTGTCTATCACTCATCACTGCTTCATTTACTATATTTCTCAGTTATCAAATAGTAAGAAGTTATTAGGTTAGCATTTCAATAGTTTGTCGTCATATCAGCGCATGTAACAAAGGCCACTAACAGCATGTAAGTCACAGGAAAATATATAAAATGCAATTTAGGCTTTTAGAATCTCACACTTCACTCTGTTTTGCAGCCAGTCTCTTTTACATATATTTTAATGTTGTCTTTTACTTCTTCACTGAAAATTACTGAAGATCGGTTGATTGTGTGATGCTGCGACTTCTTGCAGCAATCAAAATTCTTTGAGATTTCAAACCAGTCATTTGTAATCCTCAAAACAAAAGCTTATGCAGCATTTCCATTAATGACAATGAAAGTACACTATATGGACAAACGTATTGGGACAACTACACGTTACACCTACAGGAGCTTTTATGACATCTCATTCTAAATCCATAGGAAGGTATTAATATATACTTGGTCCCCCCTTTGCAACTATAACAGCTTCCATTCTTCTGGGAAACGTTCTACAAGATTTTGGAGAGTGTTTGTGGGAATTTTTGCCCATTCATCCAGAAGAGCATCTGTAAGTTCAAACGCTGATGTTGGATGAGAGGGCCTGGCTCACAATTTCCATTCTAGTTTATCCCAAGTGTGTTCGATGGGGTTGAGGTCGGGGGTCTGTGTGGGCCGGTCAAGTTTTTCCACCAACTCACCAACAATGCCTTTATGGACCTTGCTTTGTGCACTGGGGCTCAGTCATGCTGGAACAGAAAAGGGCTTTCACCAAACTGTTCCCCCAAAGTTGGAAGCATACAATTGTCTAAAATGTCTTGATATGCTGAAGCAATAAGATTTACCCTTACTGGAACTAAGAGGTCTAGGCCAACCCCTGAAAACAACCCCATGTCATTATCTCTCCTCTACCAAACTTTACATTTGGCACAATGCAGTCAGGCAGGTAATGTTCTCCTGGCATTCACCAAACCCAGACTTGTCCATCAGACTGTCAGATAGAGAAGCGTGATTCATTTACTCCACAGAATACGTTTCCACTCCTCCAGAGTCCAGTGGCAGCAGCTTTACACCAATCCATCTGTTGCTTGGCATTGTGCTTGGTGATGTAAAGCTTGCATGCAGCAGCTTGGCCATGGAAACCCATGCCATGATGCTCCCGGCACACAGTTTTTGGGCTGATGTTAATGCCAGAGGATGTTTGGAACTCTGCAGTTATTGAGTCAGCGTTGGCAACTTTTATGCATTGCTGTGGTTCCTAAGTGCTTACACTTTTCAATAATACCACTCACAGTTGATCGTGGAATATTTAGAAGGGAAGATATTTTGCCAACTGACTTGTTGCTTTGCTGGCATCCTGTTACAGAACCACTCATCCTATTACAGAACCATATTCAGTGAGCTCTTTAGAATGTTCCATTCTTTCACAAATGTTTGTAAAGGCAGACTGCATGGCTAGGTGCTTGAGTTTATACACCTGTGGTAATGGGACTGAATGAAACACCTGAATACAATGGGTAAGAGGTGTGTCCCAATACTTTTGTCCATGTAGTGTATGTGTTCATAAGCACAAGCAAAGATAGGTTCAAAAACAAATTTGATAAGGACAGCGTTTTCAGACACTACATTAAAATGTACATATATGTAAACATTAAAAATTAAAATAAATCAAGTTCTACATTTTAAAGCTGCAAAAATAAACATAAAATTGTTCTGGTGCAAACTGTACCTGGTGTCATTACAAAAGACGTTGCCATTGCTTGGGAAGATTACCTGCAACGAGTGCTAATCACTTAAACATCATGAAATTTTCATAATTGTGATTTCATGAAAAAGTTAATGAAATCACAACTAATTGGCCCTGGTCACGTGTGTCATGCAAGACTTGTCTTAAACTAATGATGCGGAAGGTGAGTCACTTGGAAAGAGTTGCAGGATGACCTGAAAGCAGCAGGTACAACAGTTACAGTATTTTTCCGTTTGAAAAGAGAATATAAAGTGCACCTTTTAATTTTTTTGTTCCATTCACAGCTCAGTCGAGATAAAGAGGTCCTGAAGACGGGTCATGGCATTCTGCTGAAATCTCTCACTCAGACGGACTCTGGTCTCTACCACTGCCTGGCCACAGAGAACAACTTCAAGCACACTGTGGCCCGCGTGTCCCTGCGGATCCTGGACCGGGAGATTGTAGAGGCCCTGACAGCACCAGACAGCCCTGCAGAACCAGAGCGTCACCACCAGCACCATCATCATCACCCTCCTCCTCCTCCACCCCCACCCCAAACCCCACCCCCAGCCCTCCAGCAGCTCCCGCCACAGCCCGAGGTGCGCCTCATCAACCAATACTGCCAGACCTATTGGCAACAGCAGAGCACCAGCCCGCCCCACAAACCCAAACGCACCAATCGCAGACACACTGAGCAGAAGGAGTCTGAAGAGCCTCATGAGCTGCAGGCCCAGTGATAATGTTCTGAGTGCTAAGAGCAGAAAACATGAGTTGTTAAGTTGATTGCGTTCCATACACTGTGTGAGCAGGATAGGCAGCGTCTCTAAAGACTGTGTTACTAAGCTAAATTACATGTGTTCATGCAAAAAAGTCAAATCTGATAAAAACTTGTTTCAAGACTACATTTGATTTTAACACAGCATGTTGAAGTTGTTGGTGCAAGTTAGTGAGGATACAGCCTTAACCAGGGATGGGACGGTTACTGCTGCACTATTAAACCCAATGATTATCATACGGTTGCAAATTTTATTTCCTGTAATGGTGTACGGTTAGCGTGTACTGTAAAAAAAGAACAACCATCTGCTACAGTCTCTCACCAAAGCATGCACTAAACAACTATTGTTATTTTGGTTATAACAAATACAAGTGGGTCAGTAAAAAGTATCCATACCTATGGTGAAAGGATTTCAATGGCTATTAGTAGCTTTTTAAACATTTTCAGTATATATTAACTATACTGTAATCATTTAGGTCACTGAAATCTAGCAGTTTTTCATACTGTCCCATTTCTGGTCCTAACACAGGCTCCTGTATCTTCAGCTCAGTTTTTGCTTTTTTAAGGTTACAATACATAGTGTTCTAAGTTTGCAGAGCAGTAGATGTTGAATTATTTCCAAACCATAGGAAACTGGTATGTGCCACATTGCATACTGTAGAGTTTAGGTTTTTTGTGTTCTCTTTTACTGTTGTTGCATTGCTGTTACCTTCACAGAGTCATTGAAAAGTCAGTATTTCATGAACAGTGTACTCATAAAACTCTGGCACTTAGCGTTGCTAGTATTTAAAGCTTGTTATGTTGAGTCAGATGGTTGTTAATCCTCAGCCTGTGGAACACAGTGGTGGAAAGAATGCTGTGGAGAATTTCTACGTGATTCCACTCACATTCATGGCACAGTCATCTGCTGATTTGTCAAAAAGAAGTCTTTTCCTGTACTGGGTTATAATTATGACATGATGCATTCAGATATGATTTTGACCAACCTTTTATGTTATCAAGACCAAGGGTGATTTATAATCAGGATGGATGTAAAGGCTTCTAGAAGTTGTTCTTTTTTGTGGAGTTTGTAAAGATATGGCTAAGCTTCCATTTCAGTAAAATGTCTTGATATTTTAAGAGCATTCTTGAGTTAGTCTGCATCAGACAAAGTACAGCTGCAGATACTGGAAGTCTGGAAATTCAGTGACATCAAATGTTTGAACGATGTGTAAGTCATGAGAAAATGCTTTTGCAAAACCTCTGATTCACCTTTTACATCTTTTAGAAGTACAGCTAAATGGAATGGAAGAACAGCTAAACCCATGTTTCCATTACTGGTTAGTAGGTATTGAACAAAAACTACTGCAATTTGAAGGCGGTGGTAGGCGTGTTTTTTTTTCCTCAAAAGAAAGATGGGATATTCTTTGGAAAGACAGAATTATGGACCAAAACCTGCTCCAGTCTCCAGCCATAGTAAGAGAGATTTGCAGCAAGAAGGAATATGTAAATAATGTTTGAGATCAGCAGTCTCTTTCTGAATGCATAATAAAAACTGGAGAACTAGATTCACAATAAAAAAAATGAAAGAAAACTTGAGTTATGAGTTAAGGGACATAGACCTCTGAGGTTGTGAGTTATTTGGTGGGCTAATGGCATGCCCAAATCAAGACTCTGGATATAAGCTGGTTTTATCTATGGGAAAAATGAATGGAGTTACAAGGTCATTTAGAGGTCGAATTACATACATGGCACAAAAAAGCTAATACTTGTTCACATTTAAAGAGGAATTACTCTGATTTTTAATAGTCATTCAGAGTAGTTTACACAGCTAAGTTCTGGAGAATTGTTCAGAGCGGTGGTACAAGCTACTGCACAGAAATCTATAACATGAAATGGTTATGAATACGCTGCCTGATGCTTGAGACATTGTCTTATACTAGTTTTGAGATAAAGTTTTTTAACTAAAATGTACATGCAGGGTGTTGTAAAGGAAAACAGTGCCCAAATAAAACTTCTTTTTTCCCAATTTACTACTGTTTGACACTTATCAGCATTTTATTTAAAACTCAGTAGGTTCACTGGTCACTTTGGATAGAAAAGCTAATGTCTAAATTCGCATTGTAGACATCACCACCATTGTAACAAAAAGCCATTCAGACTGGTTTGATGTAAAATGGTGCATTGTAGCCATCACCACTGTGCACAAAATAAGAGCGAACAGTTTTCTCTACAAAGCACTATTGCAAATCAAACCACTCAATGTTTTTTACATCTCATTGATTGAATTATGCAGAAATTTTTGTCAATTTTGTCTGACGTTACCAAGATACATGAAAAGTAAGGCTGCTACATCACTACTAAGGCTTCTATATATACACTACATGAACACTATTGTACTGAAATTGTGGCCTGCTGCTGCCAAAACCACTTAACTAGGACACCTCACAAAGCTTGCTGGTTTGCATTGTTAGGCTGTCAGTCCTATGATGTCAGCTGAATGTGCAGGAGCATTAACTTCCAATCACAGTGATATTCTGACATGACAAATATATAGACCTCCGTACTTCATTAATCCCAAATATGATGGGGTGATTTTTAAAAAACGACAAGCACTTTTCCCATAGACAGAAACAGCTTACACCCAGGGCTCGCCAGGATGCTGTCTGTCGACTGGTCCTCAGAGGTCTATCACTTGCTGATCAGTATGCTGTGTTTGCTGTGCACATTTCTGAATATGAAAGCAAGCAAATTAATCTTGGGCAAAATAACAGTCCTGTAAAAAAAAAAAAAGTTATGTACTGAGAAAGTATTGTGTCACAAACCATCTCAGTGATAGTTTTTTCTTACAACATTATGTCGTTTGGGGAGGGCAGATGCAGACATTTTTCATTAGTATTTCCTTTCACTTTCTATCGTTGCCTCTTCGGCTTCAGATTGGTAAGAAACACCCTGATCAAACTTTGTCCACAGCAGTAGTAGTTCTGTGACACTGTCACCTTTTCCATATCAGCAGTAGATGTTCTCTGTGGTTAACTGTGGTCATGTTTTGCTTGTGTATAAAGGCAGTCCTTGTGCTTTGTGTGACAGTTACACATGTACATAGAAATGGTGTGTATTCAAAAGGTCTCGTCTGTCTTTGGTCAGGTTTTAACTATTAATATTTTCTCTCTCTCTCTCTCTCTCTCTCTCTCTCTCTCTCTCTTTCTCTCTCGACCCAGCGTATTTATTTTGAGAATGTACATATTCATGTGAGTCGTGTTCTTTTGGTGGTGAGATAGGGCTGCAAATGGCAGTTATTATTGTGCATTATTATTCATTAACAGGACCAGAATATACAGACACAGAGAAATGCTATTAGAAAAAGGTGCAGTAGAAAGGGAGTTTTTATATTGTGACCACTGCCATGTTATGCTCAGTTCAGCAAGCATGTTTTTCTTGGAAATAAGATGAGTTTTCTTGGAAATAAGATGAGTGATAGAAAATAAGATAAAGTGAAGTTTAACATATAAATATGAAAGGCAGTGTTCAAAAATGGCCTTCACGTGGCCTAAAGCAATGAAATGAACACTGTTGAAACTGATACTAATCACTTTGTATTAGAAGTTTATGGGTAACTTACATTAGCAGACCATTGATGAAAAAGTTCAGACTGTCCAGCCTGCTGACTATAAAATCTTGGAGAATATTTCTGTTGTTTATAAAAAGCACATCTTTGTTTAACAGGTTGGCGAGCACAGAAAGCCTGGGCTTAAAGGCAACCAACAGTTACAAAAGTCCAAACCTTAATAGTTTTTGATCCATTTAAATATTGTGTCAAAAATCTTGGGCCTAACGCTGCCCTCAGAGGGAACGTGGTGTACAACCCAAATGATGTTTGTTCTCTTTTATCTTTGCTTTAGTGTTTCTCGATGAACTAAATGGAAATATGACTGCATCTTACGATACTTCTATGTATTCATGGTGTTTTGTGTTAGCTTAAGTTAACGTGGTTGTTTGTAATAAATATTATTTTATTATGATTGTGAGGTTGGGGAGTCTCATAGATGTTTTATAATCATAACAATAAACTGCTGTAATTGTTCTTATTTAACTCCTGATTGTTATTGACCATTAAATTGTTTATATAGCTGCTATCAAAATGTCACAAGTCAAGTCAAGTCAAGTCAAGTCAAAGTTTATTTATATAGCACTTTTTACAACAGGTGTTGTCACAAAGCAGAGTTTTACAGAAAAATCTGGGTCCAAGCCCCATGAGCAAGCCAATGAAAAACTCCCTAAGAGCAAAAGGAAGAAACCTTGAGAGGAACCAAGACTCAAAAGGGGATCCCATCCTCCTCTGGTCGACACCGGCTAGGCAAACAGCATTAGTATAAAATATTAGAATATAAAACTGGGGAAAACAGGTGGAGCAATGGTTAATTAGATAGTTTAGATAATTAGATATTTTCCATATAATTAGCAGAGTGGTTAAAGATGGGTTTATGCTAATTATTTTATATACCTTTCAAAAAAAAAGGCAGTTGTAAGTTGGCAGAATCTTGCTTTTTGGTGGTGGGATAGGCTGTACATTTTACTGTACTTTTTTGTTAAACTATTGCATTTCCATTTAAATCCTGTAGAGTGTGTTGCCTTCCTTGGGCAATTACACCCACTTTGCACAGTTAGGGTCTATGATCTTATAGAGCATGGGCATTACTGTCTTTTGAATAGTGGAGAGGACTAAATATGACAAAAAAACAGTTAACTATGACAATCCTAGTTAACCTAGACTTACACATGTAGAACAATAATTTGTTTCTTGTTTTATAGTTTTTAAGGTCCTGCACTGACAGCTCAGTTTTTGTTCTATACTTAAAGACAAAAAACATTGCCACATTCAAAATGCGGCCTTCAGGTCAGTAATCTACTCTTGCATGAAGTGGATTTCCATTAGATTATTGCTGGGTTACCCAGCTCCGGTCTTGGACTCCCCCCTCCTCGCCACTGCATAGTTCTATATTTTCCCCGCTGAGTCATATAATTAGTTAATTATCAAGCCACAACGGGGAGCTCCAGGAGTGGAGTTGGGAACTTCCATTGGAATTTCTTACACTTCAAACATGGAATAGGAGTTCAGTTTGTGTCAGGCCCTGAAGTGGCTCCTTCACAAAAATTAAATTCAGTAATATTACCTCTGGCATGAACGCCAAACCTCTTTTTCCCAGATATTTAAAGCCTCTTGTGAGACTATGTAACTTGCCATGAACCTGTATGTTTTTTAACAACAAACACAGCTCAAAAAACGTAACTTACACATGAACACATTAAAGCTCAAAACAGCAGTATGTGTAGAATTAGAATCTCTTACACCCAAACCTAAAACAGACAAGTAGTTAACGTTAATACACACACTCTGGGTTGTAGTTAGCTTTTATGGAGCAAAGACAAAACTATCAAATAACTTACTACTCTTATGGTAGCTATGACATCAGTCTCACATCCAAAACAAACAGCTGGCTAGCTTTAGCTGAGTGGGCCTGCCTGGCTACATTCACAAGTACTCGACATAAGTTTCGTTGCTAGGCGATGAGAAATTTACATAAGCTGGAAACAGGACATGTCATCATAACTTTATTTAAGCAATAAGCCATAAGAGAGAATGTGTTACTGTTTTTTTTCTCACGGCACAACGTAAAGTTGAGAAAACCCCCCTTTCCTGTGATAAAATCACAGTAATGCATAGCCTTGAGTGGCTTATTGCTTTTATAAAATGCCGGCCAACATAAGATAAGATAAGATAATCCTTTATTAATCCCACAACGGGGAAATTTGAAAATTTATAAAACATTATAAACATTTTTTTTTTATTAAATAAGTTACTAATAATAATCCATATAAATATTTTGCCAGGAAATGTAGTTCCTTTAGCATATGGTATATGAAGAACTGCTGAATGAGGAGAAGAACGTTTGGTTGTCCAACATTGTATATTCCGGCCATTTTATGACGTTTTTAATGTTTTGTTGTATAAAATTAACTTATGATTATACAGCACTGTTTAATGCAAAAACCTTCACTTTATAAGTACTTTTTGCTCATCAAATTACCACCACGATGGCAAGGCTAATTTCCATCAGCACCTCTATGTGATTTCTAGTACTATTTTGCACCAAGCTGATCGCGCCCCTCTTCCCACAATGGTGCTAAATCTTAAGTAGCTCCCTGCTCCCTACATAGTGAAGATCTGTGAAGGTGCTGTGTCCCTTTCCTCTGTTCAGTTTCTCTAACAGTGGCACATTTAGCACTTATTTAGAAAAATAGCCCTGGTTCTACTTTGTAACATAGCCAAGTCTGTACAACTTATTTTGCTTAAACAGTAACTTACCCAGCAGAACATTTGTGTGTAATCCTTGGTGCATACATCTCTGCTCAGCCTGTTTGAAGTTATCAGAAGTTTCAACTTATGGTATGCATTATGCAAGTATTCAAAATATAACTCAGTGTGGAATGGAGCATTATTTACACTTTGAAGTTAACTCTCTGTTTGTTTGAACTGGTGTTGTCATATAACAGCTACAATTTAAAAGTTTCCAATTGCTTGTCTTACGACTTTGAATAGAAATAATATGATTTTTTTGGTTGTTATTTTGTTCAGTAGTAACACAATGTACACAGTGTAGATTTAAATATATTAATATAACAGCAAAGGTTCTCAAAAGAACATCTTATTAAAGATAATATGCTAAAAAATACATTTATTTACATTCATATTGTAAATAAGCAATTATTTTTTAATTTCTGCCTCAAGATTTGATCAGAACTTCTAAAATTCTGGATATTCATTTTATTATAAATTCATTCTAGTTGCTGCTCAGATTTCTCAGTCATTTTAGAATCATTTACACCTCATAATTCATAATTATAAACCTCATAGTTCATAATTCTGGACACATCTAATTTTTTTTTTCTATCTATTTCGACAATAACGCTCCATTACATACTGTTACATGTTGAATACTTAATACTTTGAATGCATAAGTTAAAGCTTAGTGATAACTTTAAACAGACTGAGCAGAAATGTGCAATAGAGATAATAATGCATCATACAAGTATCATATTAGAATCTTTTTTACATGTGCAATTGTAACAAAGTTGGTATTATATTATTAAAATCATACACATATGGTGATTGTGTGTGTGTGGTCTGGGTTGAGCATACATTTCCAGCCTGAAAAACGGTCCCAGTCTGGCCATTAGCATCAACAACCACACAGCCTGCGCAGCAGCAGTGTGGAAAAGAGCCACTGTGTTCACACTGTTTCTGTAATATTGGTGAAGAGTGTAAACATTGCAAGAGCCTCAGCAACTTCCTGTACCACAAAGATGCAGTACATTAGTCATACACAAAAGTTTGAACACCCCTGGTCAAGTTACATGTTTTGTTGATTTACACTTAAATGTGGCATTTTTTTCTGACAATTTTAGTTTAACACATTGGAAAAAAAAACATACAATATGAAATGTGCCATAACTTTTGCTCAGGCCACATTTTATATTGGGAGTCCAATATGTTAAAGAAGAATTTCACAAATCTTTTAAAATGTGTGCATAATTAAAATAATAATAAATTAAATAAATAACAAATTTAATCTTTAAGATGTAAACAAGGTCATTTGGAGTGGCTTGAAGCAAAATGCTTCCTTCTAGAGAAACCAGAAGTGGTGGTGATAGGAGTGGTGGTGATAGGAACCAGACATCTGAAGTGTTTATTGACTCTAGAAACTACATCACAGAAAGTTATTACATATGAAATAGTTACGAATAAGTAACAATAGTTGCCTCATGGCTGAGATATTGTTTTGCGATGATTTGAGAAAAGATTTTGTTCTTAAATGTTTTATACTACGTTCATGGTGGAAAGGTACATGAAAGATGTTGTAAGGCAAATAGTAGAAAACTTTCTTTTTTCAGATTTACTGCTGTTTTATCATTCAACATTACATAGGCTATACAAACTAAGAATATATGTGTAGATTAACTGGTCATTATAGAGAGTAAATAAAATGGCTGTATTTGAGTCAACATTGTGATCTCTGGTTCCTATCACCACCATGTCTTTAAATGTTGAAAGCTGCAGGATGAGTTAACAGACAAAATCTGGCAGAAAAAGAAGAAGAAGAAAAAGAAGAAGAAGATATAAATCAGATTAATGCAATAGTGTTGCGCATTGCAAAGCACTAACTAGCAGCTAAACAGCTCACATATAAAAAGGAAACATCTCCTGATTAGAGCGTTTAACTGGATTGCACTGAGATTAAAACTAGGTGGAAAATGTTTTGTAGAGTTTGTAGGTGTGCTGTAAAGAAGGCAGCATTTTAGAAGGCTGTGAGCTGCAGCCCAGGCAAGCACACCATGCTATACCAATAAGGATCCTTGGGTAAATCTCTTAATGCTACATTTGCTTAACTCTGATATAAAACCAGTTTCTACCGGTTTTATATCACTCATCTCTCCCAGGGTTAAGTTGACAAGTATGCAGTGTCCGCAGTGTAAATGGCATCTTTGCTTCTGAGCAAATAACTATTTGTGGACATGGTTAAACTAAAGTTGGGCTTGGTGTCATTACTGTCTGTCAGGTTGGGCTGGAGTACATTTAAAACTTCAGAATCAGGTTTAGAGACATGGTTAAAGGTAAGGAGGAGGAGAAATTCTCAAAAAAGAAATGCTCTCCTTGAGCTAAACCACTTTATTTTTTGGTCATAACCACTCTCTCCAACTGTTACCTCTGACAGTGTGCCAATGGAAAACAAAAAAAACAAACCGAAATATTAACATGGAAAACTGCATTATCATTAAAGATAAACATAGAATGTTGCACATGAAGCAGTTCTCAAAGATTGCACAATATGTTTGCTTTATTCAGTTGAAAAAATACATTTACTATCATCTTAAGATCATTTATATTTAACAATCCACTTTCAGTCAAGCTTTAACAAATATACACCGTTTGATCCTCTGTTGGCCAAGTTGTCATAATCCTGTGCTATAAGGCTATTTTTAACATTTCAGTGGCCTACCTAAAATTGACACTGTGTGTGTATGTGCGTGTGTGTTTGTGTGTACCAATGTTGGATATTGACATTAATCATCCCATTCATCATCGTCATCATCATCACCTCCATCATCTTCGCTCTCTCCTGAGAAGAGAACAAGTGAAATCAAATACTGAGTTACACTGTTGTTCATATAGAGAAAACGAGCCACCAGTCCTACTCTGAGGGACAGAAATCTATTCTATGTTTATTATTTTCAGACGCAGACAGAAATATGAAGATCACACAGCAGTCTCTTCTTTTTAAAATATTACCTGAGGAATGAATGGCTTTGCTTCTTTTCTGCATGACCATCATCAGAGCTCCAACGATGCCCTCGCTACACTGGTCTTGTGGCGGAGGCGGCAGGTCTGAACTGTCCGACACCTGAGAAAACAAATATAGAATTCATATATGGAATGAAAGAGTGTTTCCTCATTTCCTCAAATGTCTTATATACATATATGTGGCAAAATGCTTAAAAATAAACACTTGAACTTCCTATAAATTCCCAAAAGAAAATTGTTACCTATAGTTCATATAAGTATAGAGATATTGGGCTACTTTTTTGGTCATCAATTAACAGCTGATTCATTAATGTTGTACAAGCCCATTAATCTATGACTGAGAGAACAATCTGATTGCTTCAGAGTGGCACTTTATCTTACAGTCTTTAGCTTGGTGCCTAGTCGGATCTGGTCCAGCAAAGCTCCTCTACCCCCCACTGTAGGTGAAGGTGCAGAACTGACGGGGCTGCCACTGCTGTAGTTAGAAGCAGGAGCGGGTGGTGGAGGAGGAGGAGGTGGAGGAGGTGGTGGAGGTGCTCCAGCACCAGGAGGAGGTGGTGGGGGAGATCCGTAACCACCAGAGGGAGGTGGGGGGGGTGGCGGTCCAGCTCTTCCACCAGGGGGAGGTGGTGGGAGGGGGCCTCGTTGAGGAGCTCTCTGGTTGCGTGAAGGTGGAGCTGGTGGGGGTTTGGCCTGGGACAGGTGGGAAGCCACTCCGAGGTGGTGGAGGAACAGGGGCACCTGGGACTGGGGGGAGACTTCGAGATGGAGGACCCATGGCATCTGTGTGAACAGCAGAAGCAGTAACTTCTTCAGTGTAGTATCAGAATGCAATTCCTACCAACATCATCTGTTTACAAACCCTGGAGACCTAGCAGTTCTACGACTTTCAGACTTTGCACCAAGTTAGCATTAAGGTAGTTTTGCAAGCCAGACTTTTGACGGTTAACAGGAAATCTGGGAGCTAGCTACCTTAGCCAAGAAGCCTACTTTAATTATTAACTACCACTAACTTGACTTTGATCATGGCAAAAAATACTACCCTTAAATACAAAGGAATAGACACAGAAATTATTATGATTGAAGTGTCAAAATCTTAAGTAGACCGGACAGATAAAAAATGTATTAGCTAAGCTAGCACAACAAGTGTTATGCTAACAGGAGATGTTGGTGGATGCAATTCCAAAGCCACATAATGCCTTAAAACTGCAGGCCTAGAACTGCTGCTGGCTAGGATCTGCAGTCAGATGTATTAGTGGCATCAAACAATATTACCGAATGGCATCTCATGAAAGTGAAATCCTCTTAAGAAAATTTGTAAATGGCACATTAACATTGGTGCTACATTTATTTTACATGGGCTAAATGTATTGGATATACAAAACTTTTAAAAGGCAATAAAAATGTATGATAATTTATGAAGACAGAACCTTACCCTGTCTCCTCATTTCTTCTTTAACAGCATCCAGACCGCCAGACTGTTCGATGAAGTCATAGATAAGTTTGGAGGTCTCTTTGTCTGTCAGCTGATCATCACTGATACCAGCACAAGAAAATAGCTTCTTCAGGTCTGGGTCCAGATTGTTGGTCTAGAATAAAAGAGAAATACATGTGTAAGTGTTACTCAGTTTGTTTTCCAATCACTTTCTAAATTGGTGAAAAGAGAAATTTCTTACGTCAAAGCCAGCGTTTGGATCCCATCCAATATGTGAGACATGTCTAGAAGAAAAAGAAAAGCCAAAGTGGGATCAGCCAAGAAAGAGTATGATTAACACTGCCAATGCAGTGAAGACTGTCTATGCATACTTACTTAAATCCACTGGGAGCTCCAATATCTGCCTTGGTGAGCCGAGGTCCCTTCTTCTTGTTCTTCTTGTCTTTTTTACCCTTGCCCAGGGAAGCAGGTGCAGGCAGGGGGACGGCAGGGGAGCGGTAGCGTGAGGGCAGAATGTCTGGGTTTGGAATATCCACAGTGACCATGCCCCCTGGCTGCATAGTTGGACCTGGACCTGAAGATTCCAAACACCTCATACAATTAATGAGTGTGTGCTAAGAACACAAAGTTAGCTAGGTGTAAAAGTGCAAAATACACTACAGTTAATACTGTCCAGAAGAAAAATATTTACTTTTGTCAAGTGACTAATTCATACCTCTAAAGGTGCAGTGTGCAAGATTTAGGGGGATCTATTAGCAGAAATGGAATTTAGTATACAAAACAATGTTTTCATTAGTGTGTAATCATCTGTAACTATGAATCGTTTTGATTAGCTTAGAATGAGCCCTTCATATATACATAGCGATTGGGTCCTCTTCCAACAGAAACCACCATGTTGTGCCACCATGTTTCTACTGCAGCCCAGAACAGACAAACCAAACACTGGCCCAAGAGAGTTCCTTTTGCATTTTCACATTGAAGCAGCAGCTTGAATTTGGTGGGGCTATGGCACCAGTTGGAAGACGTAGAAAGAATCAGTGGTTGCTGCCATTGCTGGCTAACTGTTTTGTGTCCAACACAAATTTTGACAAAAGGAGGATCATACTCATCATTTAGCACAAGAAAAAGCAAAAGAGAATGATTTGTCATCGTCAAAGAAGCAAAAACATAAAGAAACAGGGAGAGGTATAAAATTGGTTGCAATGTGCAACCTCACAGCTAGATGCCACTAATTCTTACACACTGCACCTTTAAAGCAATAATTTGATGAATGCAGTATGCCGTGTGCTAACCCAGGAGCAAGAAGGACACTGGAGATAGCAGTGACAGTTTCACCCAGCAGTCATTTTACTTGACTTTCAGTCCTTTTTTCACACAAGAGTTTTTCAACTTGTCAGTCCTTTTTGCTGCTGCTCAGATGTCTCCCCCCTCTATTAACTCTCCACTCCTTTTTAAAGGTGCCCATGCTGCCAAAGCTAAACCAACATCAGCTGGCTCTCATTAAGGGCATAGTATACCAGTACTGGGTAGGGTTTCAATTCCATGTGGCATCGTTCCACAAGATGTTGAGAACATTCCTTTGAGATTCCGGTCCACGTTGACATGATTGCAGCATGCAAATTCAGATGTACTTTCATGCTGCAAATCTCCTTCCAAATGCGTTCTACTGGATTCAGATTGGGTGACTGGGAAGGCCACTGAAGAACATCGAACACACTGTCATGTTCATGAAACCAGTTTGCGATGAACTTGCTTTTTGACATGGTGCATTTTCATGTTGTAAGTAGCCATTAGAAGAAGGTAAGTTGTAGCCATGAAGGGATGCACATGGTCAGCAACAGTACTCAAGTAGGCTTGGGTCTATGGATTCATGCTGTTGGTGCCAAATTCTTACCCTACCATCTGTAAACCTTAGCAAAAGTTGAGATTATTCCATGTTTTTCCAGTCTTCTGCTGTTGTAGCCCATCCGCCGCAAGGTTTAATGTGTTCCACAGTTGTACAGGGTGTCAGCTTGAACCAGTCTGGCTATTTTCCGTTGACCTCTCTCATCAACAAGGTGTTTCTGTCTACAGAGCTGCTGCTCACTGAGTGTTTTTTCTTTATTGCACCATTCTGTGTAAACTCTAGAGACTGTTTTGCCTGAAAATCCCAGGAGATCAGCAGTTATAAAAATACTCAAACCAGCCTGTCTGGGAGCAACAATCATGCCACGGTCAAAATCACTGAAATTATATTTGTTCCCCATTCTGATGGTTGATGTGAACATTACCCGAAGCTGCCTGCCTCTATCTGAATGATTTTATGTACTGCACACAATTGGCTGATTAGATAATTGCAGAAATAAGTAGGTGTACAGGTATTCCTAATAAAGTGTTTGGTGAGTGTATGCAACATATTATTTGTACACATCTCACACCTCGAATCTCAGCATCTGCCACCACAGCTCTATTAGCAACCTTCTATTGACAGAATTTTCACAGTTGTCTGCAACATTCAAATTTTTAAAAATGTAGTAATGATGACTAGTCGAATACTTCTTTGAATGATTAATCAAATAGTAGAAATTAGTAGTTGTGTAATGCCTAGTGCTCACAGTGCTGTCGTACTGACCATTTGATGGTGGTATTGGTGGTGGTCCCAGTATCCCTGAAAAAAGAAAAAAACATAACAATTAGTTCAGCTCTGTTTAGTTAAACAAGAAATCATCCAGTGTAATGAACAAAGTGCACTTGCACATTCCTACCTTCACTTGGAGCATGTTGTCTTTTGTCTAGTGAACAAAAAAACATGTGCAGGTGAGCTACATGTTTATTAACATGAAATGCACAGAATGCAGGGTTTTGTTTGTGAAAGAGAAGGTAGTTCACCTTGGCGACTGACTCGCTGGGTGATTTTTTCCTCTACTGTGTTTCTGAAAGCCTCTGATTCTTGCTCACTTGCAAAGTTCAGACCGACTTGGCAGTCCTGAAACATACGTGTTACTCAAATGAATTATTATGTGTCAGCTGTGGTTAAAACGGCTTTACTAACAGCCATGGCATATATGAATTTCTCTCTGTATGTATTGCATTTATTATTTAATTACAATATTTATCTGTTAACTTCTTCCATGGCACCAGTGGCTGTTTCAGGCTTGCAGTCCTCACACCAAAAACTAATAATAATGTGGCCAGTTTCCATTGTTTTCCATGTAATTGCTGAATAATATACCTTAGGGTAATAAAAGTCTTGCAGTTTAAGAAGTTAGGCCAAAGGTTAATTTAAACCCTCCTAGGTCCCCCCATAACATAAATGTCTTGAAGTCCTTTTTGGAAACTTTCTATCAAAATAATTTTTGTGTTTGTAAGTAGAAGAGATATTTTGATATGATTCATAACTGAACTACATAATTAAAGTATATTATTCATATATACCTAACTTACATAGTTACATATTATGTATAATTACATGCATAGTTACATGCATGTATGTACACAGTAATTACAGCAATTACAGCAATTACATTAGTTATTATATAATTGACAAATATATGTAGTCCAATTTAAGTATCATAGCAAAACTATATACTTGTGAGGGATACACGACGTGGCTTTTAAAAAAAATCCTGTGCTAATTTATAAACTAATGATGGAGCCACCTCACCTAAAGCCTTTGTATCAGTATGTACAAGCAGACCTTTGGCCTAATTTCAACGTGCTAGGGGGAATTTTTACTCACATCTCCAGGGAAAGAGTGAAAATACTGCTTTGGGCTGGTATAAGTCATCTGATTATACAGCTCTTGCTCCCATATCATTTTTTCATCCTAAAATGCACACACACACACACACACACACACACACACACACACACACACACGCACAATTGCTTACACATGTTAATTGACATGAATTCATAGCATGACAAACAACATCTTCAACTGCAAACATACAGTGAGGGGAAACAAGTATTCAGATGCTTTTGTTTTGGTTGTTTAATATACTTACAGTGCGTACATCCTTTTCAAATGTACACACAGAGTGTCTTTTGACTCTGTACTTAAATAAATATGATCAAAGAAGTATAAAAGCAATTCCAAAAAGTAAGTAAAATGCAAATAAATACGAAGCAGCGATTTGTGAGCCAACCTTTACCTGTATTTAAACAAAAAACATTGCAAAGACAAGATATTTAATATTTTAACCTATCAACTTCATTACGTGACAAAAAGGTTAGGACAGAAACAAGACTAGAAACGTTGTTAAATGTTCAGAAAACATTTTGAAACAGTCGATGTGTTCAGGCTTAGGTATGAAAGGAGTATCCAGGAAAGTAGTAGTAGGAAACTAGTCCCTTACAAGACTGTACTATGCACCTTGGATGCCATATCTGCAACATTTAGAAACACTGCCAACTACTCTGCACTAAAGTTCATATAAAATGGACTGATGCACAGTGGAAATGTGTGCTGTGGTCTAAGTCAACCTTCAGATTATTTATTGAAATAATGGACGTTGAGTTTTTTTGTGTAAAGAAGTAAAGTACCATGCAGATTGTTACCAGTGTAAAGCTTAAAAGCCAGGGTCCGTCACGGTATGAGTGGGAAATTAGTGGATAACTTGCGCATCTGTGAAAATGCTAAAATTTACATATACATTTTGGAGCAACATATGTTGCCGTTTAGATGCTGTCTTTTTCAGTGACCTTGCTTAATTCAACAAGACAGCACCAAGAAATGCAAATTACAAAGGCATGGCTGCATAATCGGAGGGTGTAGGTGCTAGTCTGGCCTGCCTGTCTCCTCTTGAAAATGTGTGGTGCATTTTTAAGCTCAAAATAAGGCCCTGTATGTTTGAATGGCAAAACAGTTTCACTTTCAAAACTGGACAAGTTGATGTCTTCAGTCACCAAATGTTTATGAGCTGTTGTTAAAAGAAAAGGTGATATAACACAATAGTAAACATGCTACTGTCCCAACTTTTTTGGAATGTGTTGCAGACATCATATTTGGAATGAGCATATACTTACAGATTGGCAGTGGTTATATTTTTGTCATTCCCCTTGGCAAACTTTAATTCCCAAAGTTTTGAGGGTCCATCAGTTGGACTCACAATTTCGAAATCCTTCATTCAAGTCAGGAAATTGGCTAGACCGTGCAAGCGCCTTCACTTTCTTTTTTACAAAACAGTTTTGAGTCATATGATAGCTCTCTATCAATAGTCCGATAGTATGTTGTGAAATCTTCTGTTAATCAGGGATGATTAATTGTGGTTCCATGAACTTTTTCTCAAAGCAGCGCTAATATCTAGAACTTGATATTTCAGGAACTTTCTTGCTTTATTTATTCTTGTAAATCATATTCTTTTTTCATACTTGCAAATACATATGACATTATGTAAATTTGATGAGGATATATGCACTGGATCTGTATTAAATAACAAAAACAACAGCGTCCTAATACTTGCTTCCCTTCACTGCATATGCGGCAAAGCTGTAAGATAGACCTGTTATTCATGCCTACACAAGTGTGAAGGACTCAGAGGAAATTATGAAGAATATGTGAGGAAGAGGACCTTGATATCATAAAAGCGAATGAAGTATGAACGTCGCGGGTTGTCCTTGACGAAACAAACAACTCCAGTGTGCTGCAGGCTCCAGTGGGCTGGACTGTGGGGATGGGCCATATAGAGCTGCACAACCGCAGTGGCCAGAGTCTACACACACACACATACACACACACACACATAGAGCTACAACTCTGATACAAAATCATCAATTTAAAATCCTAAAGTAAAATAATGCTTGTAAACATCCTCTACTACAACAGGAAGTGGCCTCTAGCAGCACTTCCTTTCATACTCCCTATACCGCATTTTTACCGTTTTACTTCTTGAGTCCCTGGAGACTGTTGACTATTCCAAAGTTATGTATCATTTCATTTTACTGTTTAACGTTCAACATTTAATGATTTGAGCTAATGACAGTACTGTGCAATGTAATTATTATACTAATTAATTATATAAATCATCACAAGCAAATTGAGTTTAGTGTATAATGGCTCAATGATTATAGACGTATGTATTTCTGTGTCACCTGAATTTGACTGATTTATGCACAGTGGAAACAGATTAACAGCATATGAAAGTAAAGCGACGAGACTAGAGCTGCAGTGACCTTTTGAGCAATAGCACACTCTTTCTCTTTGCCTCCTCTGTTCTTTCAACAGGAAAATGCTTCTGATAATCATCCGGTTAGCATCACCTTACAGTCTTTTCAGCTTGCTTGTTTCAGTCATTGTCCCAAACCTCAGCTATGTGCCTGAATCTGATTTGATTTGTAATAAAGCCACCTCACTCACCACGCATCTTCGGCCCAGCAGGTCTACCAGCCGTTCGTTCTCCTGGTTGCTGAGGAGGGAGCTCAACACGTTCTCCTGCCCCTTCACCTTTCCCTTGCTCATCTCTCCTTACTGAGGGAACACGATTGGACCCCTTGACAGAGCACTGGGGCCCTGATTTAGCACTTGTTGGTTTCACAAAACCTGAGTCCTGTTTGAAATAAGCGAGGAGCTGGGGGAACTGAGACTTCCGTGTTCTATGTCATGATGTCAGTGTAAGTTCTGGTGAAGCTAACAGAAACAGGAAGAGCAGCAACTGTGCATATCTGTTCCATGAGACCTGGGGACAGGCAAGCTCTTACTTAAATGGGAAGTAAGCCCAGGGGCCCCAGTCAGTTTGCTATGTGATAAATTTGCTAGGGTTTCATGTACATCTCAAGTAGAACACTTTAGTAAATATCGCAGTGGGGCAATTGAAGTGTTTTTAAAACAGTATGATGTTTTTTTCAAAAGAACTTTTACTGTATATTAGGGCGACCATACAAAATCTGGGATTTGGCTTTGCTTTCATGTTCATTTGCCTCTGTCTGCTCCATGCTGCCCTCCTTCCCCAAGTATCCTCTTTTTTGAAAGCCAAAATATAGTCACCCTACTGTACACTTAAGTTTAGCATAGATTGTTGGAATAATAAATAGCTTTAGGTGTCGCAGAGTTTTAAGAACATATAATTCATCAAATTAATGTAATTAAAGAAATGGTTTGGTAAAAAGGTAATTTACACAATTCCCCCTTACCCCAGATGTAGTCGATTGGCTAAGATATGTCTGGAGGTCAAATTGGACTTCTTTAGTTTAGTGCTGAAGTTATGAGGCTAACATTGCTAACAATAGAAGCCAATAGTCACCCAAATCTTCAGTCACAGTATTCTTCTTCATGGTGAGGTTTTGGTAAATTTTAGAGTTCAAAGAAAATCATATTGCACACTGACATATGTATGTGACCATAATGAAGACTTGGGTGCAGTTTGAGCAAGTTGGGAGAAGTTTTGGGTATGCATTTACTGAAAGCATTTGGATGACTATTGACTTTTAGTGTTTGCAACATTAGCCTTGTATCTTCAGCATCAAACTTAGCAAAATTTGGATACAATGTCTTGGCTGATCAATTACATACAAGGAAAATTGGAATTTTTCCTTGGTCTTATGTTTTTCAGCTATTCTCATGTCATTTTCTCTGACTTTGATTTGATTTGTAATAACACTGTCTCACTCACTACACATCTGCAGGCCAGCAGGTCCAACAGTTCTCTTATGTGTTGAGTTGGGGTCTCATTGAGACACCATACTGAGGCCCTGATTTTGTTGTCTCAATACATCATGAAGCACCTCCAAAAAAATTTTCAGGAATTTTTTTCAGTTTCAGTGACATTCATGATGAGTGTGTAAGTTTCTGTGTCACACATGATGTTTCACATGAGGTAAAATGTTCTGCCAGATGTTTTTTCCCCATCACTTTGGTGGAAGTTTACCAACATTTAACTGTCCAACATACTGCAACTTAATGTAATTTGGCTTTCCTATTTCTTTATGGCGGTACGGTGGCACAGTGGGTAGCGCTGTTGCCTCACAGCAAGAATGGCCTGGGTTCGATTCCCGGCCGGGCGACCAGGGTCATTTCTGTGTGGAGTTTGCCTGTTCTCCCCGTGTCTGCGTGGGTTTCCTCCCACAGTCCAAAGACATGCAGTCAGGCCGATTGGACTTGCTAAAATTGCCCCTAGGTGTGAGTGAGTGTGTGAATGTGTATGTCTGTCTGTCTGCCCTGTGATGGACTGGCGACCTGTCCAGGGTGTATCCTGCCTTCCGCCCAGTGACAGCTGGGATAGGCTCCAGCACCCCACCACGACCCAGAAGGATAAGCAGTTTAGATGATGTATGTATTTCTTTACTGATTACATTACAGTCTAGTGTTTACATATGTTTATGTCTGCCATTGAAGCTTTCTGTGTGCAGTAGGCTGCTGTTTGTTCACTGGGAAGAATATTGGTGATTTCCAGTGGTGTGGCTTTAGGGGTTTTCTTTACAGCTCTGTGTGACTAAGCAGAAAAGTTTTAGAATAAAAAGTAAGTGGTCAGAAAAACAGGCAACATTATGTACTCTTTCATAATGTCCATTGAGTACCTCAAAAAGCAATTTTGATTAAACTTTGGGACATTGTTAAAGCCCAATAAATGACAGAAACCCTTCAACCCCTCAGGATTATCATTTTATTTTTAGTGTACTGTTCAAATTTAATAATGCACACAATGAATAGCCTTTGAGGTTTTAACACCTCATATTTATATTTAGATTTCTTCCATTTGTTTCAACATCAAGTTGCTTTTATGATATCAAGAAAAGGAAAAAATGTGGAAAAATGTAAAGAATGGCCTTTTCCTTGCCAAACAAGACTGTACACACAAAAATAACTTCTCATCAACTTTAATCCTATTAAATTTTCTATTTCTTCTGCATGTGAACACAGATGCTAGTGATTGTTATCATGGCTCTATTTAAATAATCTGAAAAATTAACTCACCTCACAAAGAAGATGGCTCTTTGTTCAGTAGCAGTTTTCAGCCAAGTTATCAATACAATCTATCACTTAATTTTTAATCACCTACAGCCAAATAAGTCAGATTTTGATAAGTAGTCTCACTGGTTAAACGATGGGCTAAATGCAGGCAAACCCGTCAACCAGGCATTGTGACAACTAAGCACACGAGGCAGTTGAAGTGCTGAGGCTGTTTATTTGAGTCCAAATAACCATAGACCAAAACCATGCAAGGCTCAAACAGATGTGTACATACGCTTTAGGGACTGACAAGGAGCACCTGAAAGAGAGAGGGGCCAAAAACTAGATACAGGTGAGGAGCATCAGTACAAGGGAGGAGACAAAAAAAAACACAATAAACACAGAAACACATGGCTAAGGAAACAGACTAGATGGGGCAAAAACAGAAAAGGGAAAGAGCAGACTGGAGAGATCATCACAGACACAGACAAAAAAAGACAGGTCAAAGAAAAAGCAAAAAATGGAAGAACTAGCGAGGCACACTTTGAAAAGAGTTATGTGAAAAAGCAAGGACCCATCCAGAGCCAAACTAACGCAACAAGCAACGGGTGTTGTGGATAGTAAAGTTGCAGAGCTGAAATGTTCCAAGTTGGAGACCCTATGGGGGGTCATGTGACAAACCAAAAGAATAGTGATGAATTTTCAGCTACAGTATCAAGATATACTCATTTGTTTGTTATAATTTACAAAAGAATTTAAAAATCTGCTTATGATAAATCGTTTGTGACACATCACTAACAAATTTGGCATCAATTGAAAGTTCAGAATCTGTACACTTGACAGATATTTCATTGAGCTATAAGTAAGGAATAATTGCAATATAATGTAATTACACCGTGCTTATGTTATCACTGGTGATGGCTGCCGCTTTGATTAGCTCTTGTGCCCTAAAAATAATTGTGCCCTAAAAACAGTCCAAATCCAAGCCCTACTGACATATTTAAATGCACATAAATGATACGGCATCTTACATAAGTTTCTTTGTGGATGCCTGCATTCCTACCAAAGCCTTTGCAAAAGACAAAGCAAAACTATGGTTCACCAAGAGCATTCTCTGAACCCAGCCATATTTCACGTCAGCAAACTGCAGTCTACTTATCTGTCCAACTGATAAAGTTGTCTGGAAATGGAAGCTAAAAAAATGATCTTTTGATTTTAAAACTTTCTCAGCAGTTGCAAAAGATAGGGACACCAACAGGAAGTGAAATGAGAGAAATATACCCCCTTCCACATACACACATCCACAAACCCACCTTGTACTGCAAAATCCACACTTTCTACAGTCTGTTTGACTACCAAAACACACACAGACCAAACCCATCCTGTGAGGTTTTAACAGATCATGCCAGCAGGAACTCCTGTACGCCCTTCTCTTGATGTCATCAGGCTGTTCAGCAAAAACAATTGCACAAGAAAAGCAGCAGTGTTGACCTTGCTTCCTCTACCATGCTAAAAACGTTCCAACCTGTAGGCCTGGGCATAGCTAGATCACTTCATTTACAAATACATTGACAATTTCCTGATAAACAGGAAATAGCAGGAAATAGCACATATGGCTGATGATCAGATCTGCTGCATTGTCAGCCTTTGCTCTAGTCCTGGTACAAGTCTTCCTTGAGTGGAAATACTGCTACTTGTTGCATGTGAAATCTTAATACCACTAAACAGTGGAAACAACTGGGAAAATTTTTACAAACAATGCCAGATTGGAATAATTAACAAACTACACAGCACTCCCACCCCCTCACCAAATGATGACCCTGGCCCCCTCAGGCAGATTTCATGAGATTTTATGCGCATTTAGATTAGTGATGTGAGAATAAATAAAAGAAAAGCAGCAGGTACAGATCAGCTTTTCCAGACCGACATTTGCCAGAATCTTTGATCATTACAGCAATACATAGGCATTCAATGCTTTAAGCACTCAACAAAGACATCCAAGATCTCTGAAGTCTTAATGATTGCAGATGTGTGACATGTGTGCATACCCACCCACATGTACATAAACTACCATTCAAAATTGGACTGGCGATTTTGTAATACAATAAGAACTTATTGTTAATTACACTGTGTAAGTAATTACATAAAACTGTTGGTCCAGTACCAGACCAATCCAGAATAGTTACATTGCATGGACATCGCCGCTGGCAACAATATAATATAACGTAACATTTTTAACATGCCAAGTAAACTGTTGTTCTGTTTTTTTAAAAGAAAAGTGTAGAAAAAACAGGGGAGGTAGACAAGTTTTTGCCTCATCCTTAAAAAGGTACTATTATGTACTCTAAGTTATCTGATTTGAGATTTGATCTCCACTTTTGAAATGTGATGAATTCTAGAAATTAATTTTATTATTACTTTTAATGAATAAAAATGATTACAAATTAAAAAGTAATTATTGTTACTCTTCATTTGATTCATTTTATTTTTACTTTTATTATTACTATTACATTTTAGAATCGTCTATGGCTCTGTTCATCAATATGGACACATCTAACAATTTTTATTTACAGATTCTCAGTGTCCTGCTATCAGAATCTTGTGAAGTTGCACAGACGTTGCATTTTACACACTTGTTTGCAACCAAATATGTTACTGAAAAACAGTATTTAGTTGATCAGCCAAGACATGTTTGTCAACCCAAGTTTGCTTCTCTAGCATTTTGCGCTGGAGCTACAAGGTTAACCCCTTAAATGGCCCGAACCCACTGGCAGACCAAAGTTAAATTACAGACTCCTTTAACCTAAGAATAGCTCTGCCAGTTTGCATCAAAGTCTGTAATTACTGAATAATAAGCTTTAGCATGTAATAAGCCTGGGATTTTAATGGGTTAATGAAGTAACCAATAATAATGGAAGCTAATGACTCTCCAATTAGCATTGTGCTAAATCTGCATGCTGAGATCATCACACACCAAACTTAAACCACACAGTGTAAGAAACCATGTGGAGCTCAAATAGACTTGCCTGTCGTGGTTTCTGACACTGTATTATGCACTGTTATCTACATTTGCATTCATTTATTTTGCAGGTGCTCTTATACAAAGCATTATGTACTACAAAATATTACAGTATAAGTAGTATAAAGTATGAAATACTACAACCATAAAGTAGAATAAATAGTGTGAAGTAGGTACCATATAAAATGCTGTCAGAAATCACAAAGCTAAAAACAGTACTCACAGCCATCTTTGGTTCATATTTATAGAGGACAGTGTGTCATAGAGTGTGAGAAACCACATAAGCAAGTCTGTCATAGGCAAGTCATAAGCAAGTTTACATAACAAAGTGATTTAGGCATGTGGTATGCACAATGAGTTCTTCTATTCCTAATAAAAAACAGGTCACAGTCTGTTAGAGTAATCAACTTAACTTCCTGTACTTTGACTTTCAATGCTGGCGCTCCTTGCTTTCGTCTTAAATCTTCACCAATGAACTCACTTCTCAAGATTGTTCAGTAACGATAATCTAATATGCAAATCACCCACAATGAGACCAGAAATAAGACTAACAGAAGTAAAGAGGAGAACTGAGCAGTAGTTTTATAGCAAGTGACCTAGTTCTCAATGCTTCCAAAACAATGTAGGTGGTAAAGAACTTATATGAATTCAAGATCATAAACCTCCTATTGTAATTAATAATCAGCGCTATACAGCTTCAAAGTGCTTGGCACAGATATCATGAGCTCATTGAAATGAAGCCTGAACTCTCAATACTTAATACTGTTAAAAGTTTCAGACTTGCACAGATCACTGAGGAAGTTCAGGCTTATAAACAGCAGCGTTTGGCACAGCTATTAAACAAAACATCCTGACATCATCTGCAACCATCTGGCAGTTTCCGTCAGGGCACTCTACAGCAAGGAGACTGCAACGAGGGCACCTAAAATCATCACAAAATCTTTACATCCAGCTGATCAGTCTTTTTCCTGTAGAAGATAATAGAAATCCATGTCATCAAAGGCTACCTGTTTTTCCCTCCTGCAATCAAAGCTTTAAACTCTTAAAGCTGCTGCATAAAGCACTGCACTAACCTGACTTAGCACAGTATATAATGAGCTGCAGTGTTAGGCTGGCTTTACACGGTGAAACTCTGATGCAACTTTAGTTGTTTGAAACTTACATGAAACTAAGTATAACATGAGTTGCATAATGTAAAGACCCCTGAAACTTACTTGAAACTTGAAGTTTTACGAAAAGGCAAACAAACCACTTATCATGTGATCATGTCAAACAACATTGTTTTAAACATGATTGATTTCACTGGATCAATGGACAAGAAAATAAAACAGACGGTAGTTTCTGCTGATTGACGCTAGGCAAGTTTAGTAGTTTTTTCATTTTTTCAGTTTCCTGAGACAACAAACAAACATGGGCTTGTCCAAGCTCACATTTCTGTTACCAGCTGGCTTAACTAATTTTCACCTCTATAGATGCCACCTAATTTCACACAGAGCTCAAATATATTTGCCTTAACATACATAAAACAAATTTAAAAAGTCAGATGTAGGCTACAGTAAAGTGCTCTAGATAGATAGAAAGACGCAGACATGAAAAATCATACAAAAACAATTAATGTCTGAAATGGCCAGGGCTCAGTGACAAGTTTTATTACGCACTTCTATAACCTAAGAATAGCTCAGCTAGTTTGCATTGAAGTTGTGGTTACTGAATAATAAGCCTTAATATGTAATGATCTTGGGATTTTAATGGGTTAAAATGCTGTGAATAAGTTAAATAAAATGAAAAGCTTGTGTTCAAGGCAAGGTGTATGATGTAAATGAGACTTTTAAAAGTATCGCTACAGTGGTCCAGTTATGTTCCCTAACTAAAGGTACTATAGACATACCCTTGAGGCTACAATCCCAGTGACTTGAGGGTACCACAACAGTGGGTCACAGTATACGTTCTCACTGACCATCATTATACATCATTGACTGAACCATACTATTACCATGCAATATCTGTTCTGTCTATATATATAAATATACCTGTTGTGTTACAGTTTTGAACTACTCTGCTTTCTGAAAACAAGCTATACCTTTATTCTGACTGTTGTCTATATGTAAGTTTTGTGTTCTTCTCTTTTCCATATTGCACCAGTCACAGTTACCTCCAACAAGTGTGTGGCAGCTGAATCTTGTACAGCCGAATCCTGCAGCAATTTACTGCATTCCTTAAATATAGTAATATATATGGCAGATAAAATGGTGCATTGCGGAAGATGCAGGTCGAGCATCATGTCAAAGAGGTTAACCCCTTAAAATCCCAGGCTTATTACAAACTAAGGCATATTATTCAGTAACTGGAATCTTGGAAAAGACCCTGGTTTTAACCATTTATCCATTGGATCAAAAAGAGAAACGTTTTACATTGACTTGCACAAGATCTAAACATAACTTGTTAGTATACTGCCAGACCAAACAATGAGCTTAATATAAATATGATGTTTTGTTTTTGCTAATATTACTCACAGCAATATTTGTCATACTTAACCTCTTAAAATCCCAGGCTTATTACTTACTACAGGGACTTCAGTGCAAACTGGCTGGGCTAGGTTATTGAAGCATGTAATAAAACTTTGGGCCTGCTGGAGAGCCCATGGCTTTTAAAGTGGTTAAAAGTACGTTTGATGTGTTAAATGTGTAAATCTGTATTAAAAAAATAAATAAATAAATAAGATGGTGGCCAACACCCCCCTAGCAATACCACTATGACCCACTGGAGGGCCATGGCTCACAGGTTGAAAATGACTGGATTACACTTTTATTTTTAAAAGTGAGGGAAATTTGGTTTTGCATTATTTTCATAGTGTGATCATACTGTTGGCTTTAAATAGCTGTAATTAGCTGAAATTCAACAATATTTAATGTGTCTCTAAACCTGTGTCAGCAGTAAGATATTTATAGTAGACTGTTGTATCTAAACAGTACAGTTCACTTCTGTAGTTTAAAAACACAGTAAAAGCCTGAATATTTGGATTACAGAAATACATGCTGTAACATTAATGAATACTGTCATTTTACAGGTACAGGTACGTTGTTAAATTCCTGAACACTTGTTCTGTGGCTTGATTTTTTGGTAAATTCACTGATTGGGTTAAGATGCTACTTATGCAGTGAAGGTTGATAGATATCTGTTCAGCTATAGTACATAATCTTCCCAGTTATTGTGTTATAGTGTCTGAACATTTCAGCAACAAGGCACCTTTCGATTGTCTCTACATTGTTCTTACATGTAATATGAACTAATTAAACCCATTCCTTGCATACAAATGGTTTAACTGAATAAAAAGAAGCAGTGTAAACTTGCTAACATCTGCTAACATCTGAAAATGCTTGAATTTCAGGACATTTTGTGTCCAGGAATAGAATTTATTTTTAACCGTAGCAGTACCTCCTGCCATTTTGCGACACCTAAAATGTTTGAACATCATTCAGCACTTTTACCTTTCTCAGTGCTATTACTGAAAGTTTTAGCTTCCGTGATCATGTAGTTCAGCTCGACAGCCGTCCAGTTTGGAGGCAAACTACCTTCCAAAGGGAACAAATGAATTCCTATCACACGTTATCACTTACAATTCATCTTTATTGAAAGTTGGAACTTCTTCAGCTGCAGAGTGTCTTTGGCGTCAGTGGATGTCACAATAAAGTTGTCAGGAAAAACATCCCCAATTTTTCTATAACTGACTCAAAGTATGCAAAGAATATGTAAAACAACATGAATATTATTGACAGGATTGCTAATAAAAAGCAGGCAACTCTTCGATGGTTCCTGTTAATGGGTTTAAAAATAGGAAGGTGGCAAAGTTAGGGTACAGAAACTTCAGTACTTGTTTAACAAGTTAAAAAGAAAGACTGAGGCGAGCTGCTGGAGCACTTTATTCACCACAAATGCAAAATGTATAGAAAATAACAGCAGAACTGGCACAGCCTGCATGTTTAAGATAAACTGCACAAGTTCAGCGGCACTGACATGGCCTACCAAGCTAACAGCAGATGACTACACAAGAGATGTCCAATGCGCCTCAGCCCCGCTGTGAAATGAGGAACAAAGATGCTGTTAGCTTAGAACGGTAGGAGTAACTTCCTGGACACTTCAGTGGAGATAAGATACAGGTGCACTCGACTAGTCTGGACAGTTTACACACTTTATTACTGATAGAGTAATAACGTGTGCAGATTATAGGAGTGCTTCAGTGTATTTGCTGTGCTTAACAGATAGAAGTGCCTGGAAGTTACTTATAAATAGAAAGTTATTCTAATACACCCCCCCTTATAAGGAGCAGTCAGGCCATAGTTGTATGTGCACCACTTTGGTAGGGTGAGTTGCTTTTGCATTGTCTTTTTTTGTTTTTTTCATTTTATTTATTTATTTATTTTTTTTTCATTTTTTATTTACTTTTTTGAGCAAGCATATTAAATTGAAACAAGCATTCAAAAGTGTCTCTCATCATATTTCGTGAAGATTTTTGAACTGCTTCCGAAATTGTATTTCACAAAGAAGCATTGAATTCACAGTGTTCTCTAGACCAAGAGGAAAAGCAGTTTAGGACACAGTTTGACATAGCCTTCCCTTTTGTTCTTCAAAAAACACCTGGTCTATCCTATTGGCTCAACGTTAAAAAGGAAAGAAGGTCAGATTGTTTCATTTTTCCTTCTGATTGTTTTCATAAAACAATTTCAAAAACTTGGAATCTGATTTGGGCTCAGAAACACCAACATGATTGCACTGAAAGTCCAACGGGGGAGTGTTGACAACATCGACAAAATCAGCTCAGTAGTACTGAGCTTCAGTCATCCATTTAGATCCATTGGTTTGGTTTTATCGCTTGTGGTAGCCTGTGCGGAAAGCAACGTTATAAATTAGCACCTTAGAAGAGAATGAATGGACTTGCATCCACACATCATTCGTTTGAAGCATTGGTTCAGCATTATGTGAAAACGAGTCGTACCTCCAGCTTGTTATGCAAATGAAATGTAATCCTGAACAAACAAACAGACAAACAAACAAAAAAGCTGTGCTAAATTGTATAAAACTAATTAGTACATGAATTTCTACCTTGTTCAGTCAAGTTCAAAGCCACAATCAGAGATTTTAGATCAACGACAAACTGGTCACCCTTGCACTGAATAGTAAAGATGGATTTAGGAGTGTTTTGCACTCCAGAAAAACAGCTGCAAAGTTCGTAGCCTGAGTCCTGAATGCCATTAGGCTTTTGGTTTTTTTCAAGACACAGGATGATTTGCCATTGCTATTGTAAACTCTGGAGTCAAAATGAGGTATGGCAGTTGTACTTGGCACTTCAAACACTTTACAGGAGTTCTACCCAAGAGTTTTGCAAACACGTATGGCTTTTTAAAACCCTGAGTGTGGCTTTAAAGTTGATCACATATGTTTTGTTTTTTGCTATCAATACTTGAGACTCGACTTAGTTCAGAGATGTAGCTCAGCCTTTACCAACACCATTTTGATATGATGTAGAAATTAATGTTGTCGGATCAAATTGTAGTGTGTCTGAACAAATAAACGGAAATATGATATGCTTCCATCTTTGACTTTTAGCCAAGATTTGACAGGATCAGTAAAAGTTAGAATTTTTCTGTAGTGGGAGAAACATGAACATGGTTATGTCCTGTTTTCATTGCAAAAGGTTACAAAAAAGCCTATCCAGTTACTTTCTTTGGACTGTCCTTTCTCTTACAGCTGCTTCTCAACAACCTTTGGAATTTGGTACAATCTATAAGCATTTTCCAGCAGAAATGTAATAGCCATTTGTCTGTACTGAAAAAAAGCAAATGACTGTATGCATGATCTTTATCTGAGAAAACTGCCACAGGAGGGCATGACATCATCATAATCTGCCTAGATCCTCCACCACAGGACGTTTCTCTTTCTAATTTTAAATATGGCGGCAAGCGGGCCCTCTCCTCACTCAGTGGGGCGAGAGTCCAGAGATGAGATGGGTCCAGCCTATCAGTGACTTTTTTTTTCATTTTTTTCGCTGTTCTCTCGGACTCCTTGCTGGGTTTGGTGGGAGAGGACAGCTCGATGGCGTTCTGCTGAGCAGGCGTGTTGGACCCCCTTTGTTTTCGTGGCTGGGGATCAGTGTCCCCCTCCACTGCGGTTCTCTCCACTGATCCAGTCCAGGGCTATGAAGGTTAAGCTCATGGACATGAAGATGAAACCCAAAGCTGAGAAGCAGGCAGCCTGGAAAAGGACAGGGAGGAAGATTGGCACTTCTCTGAAACTTACTGCAGAGATCCATTCAGACACACTGAATCATTCACTGATGCATTTACAGGAACCATTCAGTACCCACCTGGATTTTTGGTCTTGAGTTCATTGGTTCCTGGTCTTTTGGAACGATGCGGATATAGAACAGCCCCGGGAGAATGAAGATCAAACTTGGTGCCGAGGTGGCCCCTGAAGATAAAGAACACAATATCGACATATGGATACATTTCATTTCAATTGTTGAATCTAAGCTAGGAGAGTAGTGGTTTTCTGCTTGGACTTGCACATTGAGATTTGCTTACTTACTACTTCTATTATACCTACCAATGATTCCAAAGATGTCTCGGATGTTGGGCACAAAGATGACGAGCAGGTTGACGAGAAAGAGGAGGCACAGAGCAATGCAGATGTGACGAACCCAATGGAAAGGCTTCTCAGGGAACAGCAGCTGCAGCAGAGCTCGACGAATCTGAATAAAAAGAATCATATTGACATCATTCCTCATATCTGATGAATTGACCACTGGACAGAAACTATGACTTTAATTACTTAGTTGTTTTATACACTGAGAACTGGATTTTGTTCATTAAATATAAATTTTAAGGGTGTAGTTGCAGAACTTTTCATTATACAGGAAGGAATATTCTACTATATATGGACAATTCTACTGAATTAGTTCAAACCACGGTTACACAGTAAAAAAATTAAGTATTCATACCTTAGATATTTCGAGGATTATGTTATGATATATAAATACAAATTAAAGAAATTTCAGATTAAAAAAAAAAGACGGCGACAGGCGCCCTGTGGTAAAAGAGGTGCAACCAAAAAGTTGCAGGTTCAAATTCCAGGACTGACTGGGATTCCTGGTAGTGCTCATGGGCAAGGCACTTGACCCCCACTGCCGCAGGTGGCACTGCTCTCTTGGTGACATTGTACTGCTCCCAGTCTGGGCATGACTGGGCATAATTAGGCAGCTAAATGACCAATTTTCTTTGCAAGTAGATAATAATAAAGTATAACGTAACAAAGAACAGACATTTCATATGGTCCATTACTACAAGAAAGGTGAATGTACAGTGTTTACATAGCAGGTTATTTGAACTGTGTCTAAGTAGCAGGTTATTTGAGGGCCCTAAACTGATGTAAACTAATTTAAAACCACAATCAAGGCTCTCTGCTGCAAAGCTAAATCCACTTTTAGGGTTTAAAGAATCTCTACATAATGTAAAGGTTCTCTATCAATGAAATTTTTTCTTAGAACTGCGCGTCAAAGCATCCATGCATTTAAGTGTGCAACATGATTCAAATGTCTTTACCACTGTCTGTCATTACAGAATAATTATAACAGCTTCATGACCAAAGACAGTCTGACAGAAGAGAGTGTTCTTACTGGGAAAAGCACCACAGGAACAGTCAGTGTGACGGCCACCAGCACTGCCAGTCGAACACACAGGATTAGAGTGTCCAGCGGGTCCACTTTATGGTAGGTGTGCAGCAACTCCGCCTCTGTATTAGCTGCTCAGATTAAACAGAAAGAAAGAGCTCATGTTGAAAGTCCTGAAAATAAGAAATGGCCAAACAATCCAGGACTGCTATGAAACCTACTTTGTGGTCACTGTATACGAATGTATTTCATGTAATAAATGGCACCCATCGTTGGCTCCTCAGATAAAGCAGACCTACCGTAGAAGGTGAGGTATCCAAAGATGGCAGTGAGCAGATACATTACAAACATGGCCAAGATGGACACATTGGCAATGGCCTGCATGCGTCTCTTAGTGGGGCTGTCAAAAGACCAAAGAACAGTCATGAATAAAGGTTCCTTTGTCATCTTAATTATGTTTTCTGTTGGAAAATTTAAAAATGATATTGCAAACTAGAAACTAGCTTTGTTTCACAAATAATGCAACTATTTTCCCAAAATGATAGAGTACAGTATGTGAATCATTCTACCAAAGTGGTTCAAAGTCAGACTTCAAACACATTTTGGACTTTAACTGACTTAGACTTTAAATTAATTAATTAATTAATTATGTTTATTTTATTAAAAATAATAAATGAACACTCCAATTTGTACCAAAACAATTACTACCATAAGTTTACAGAATGTTTCAGTAGTGACAATTTTAGCTAATTTTGAACATAACTCGCTTGGTCCAGTTGTACGCACATAAAATCATAATTTATATAAAAACACAAAGAGTTTACATAATTGCATAAAATGTTCTGTAGTTACAATTCTTAATGTTGCCCACTGATTTTAAGAATGGGATCTAACTGCTCACTGCATCCCTGTCCCTCACATGTGGCCATGAGGCACCCTAAAAGCTCTAAAATGCAGAGAACTCTTTGTGTTTCAGTAGTGACATTAAAATGTGGGACAGTAATTTTGGAACATTTTTATTACATTTTTATAATAAATCTAAATCTTTCAACTCAAATCAATCAACCAAGAAGATCTTAAAAAGAAAACAATGAAAAAATACAAAAAATTTAGAAGTTAGAATTTGGGAAGCCACCTCCCAATGGAGAATACCCTATACATAATGGTTTTGTATATATTTAGCTTATTACCATTTCAGTTGATGTCTGGGGTTTAAATAGATCATAACATAATCCTTGAAATATCTAAGGTATGAATACTTAATTTTTTTTTTCTAATAGTTTTTTACTGTGTGACTGTGGTTTGAACTAATTCAGTAGAATTGTTCATATATAGTACAACATTCCTCCCTGCAGAATGAAAGGTTTTGCAACTACACTCTTAAAAACAAAATAGCCAGTAAGGTTCTGTGGAGCTGCAGGAGAACCACTTTAGGATTCCTAAGAACCTAAGTTGAATTGATTGATCAAATGCTTGCTCTTGATTAAATAACCATGTTTGTAAATGAGATGTGTTTGAAGAGAACCTTTTCAAAGTTTAAGAACCTCCACATAATGTAGTTTCTACCAGTTGAAGGTTTTTCCTAGAATTGTACATTTAAACCAAGAACCTTTGATAAACCTTTATTTTTTAGACTGTAATATAATGTTATATACACCAGTAAATGACATTTGCTAAGACTGTGTGACAGTGGGTGGTCCTGAACATACTTGCGCAGCTCAGTGTAGATTGGCAGCACTTCAGGGTGGCACACAAAAGCAAAAGCCAAGATGGGAACCGTGTAGGCCGTCTGCAAGCCAAATAGAGAGTAACTAAAATTAGGCCCAGTCTCCCGAGGCGGTCGTGACTTAAAGCACAGTCTCCACTGAGGAGGTGATGGACAGCTTCCACACTGTTGCCATAATCAGGCCACCAGTTGCTTGGTAACGTGACACCAGCCTGGATGCCCTGAACCTCTGCCATCTCAGATCACCTTTTCTGAAAATACTGTAAATAGCCTCTAACTTTACTGAGATGAGTCATAATGATATCCTCCACTGGAAGAGGAGGGGAGAAAGTGTGTTGTCGTGCTGACCTGCTGGTTGATGGTGAAGTATTTGCCCTCACATTCTCCATCTATAGAAGCATTGACTGTGGTGTAATTACTGAATGCCTCCAGTGGACACAGGATGCTGAACTTCTTATAGATGACCTAGAGCAGAGCGTGAGAAACAAAGGCATACTGTGAGAAGTTATTGTGAAATTGTTTGTATTGTGCAACACTCCTTTACTCTGTCATTGAAATACTGAGAACTATTTTCTGTTTCTGTTTTTTGGAAACAATGAAGTATTTCTGTGGGTGTTAAAGTACCTAGGTCACATGATTCTATGTTAGGATAAGACACTAGAGATGAAGATGTCATTTTCTTAAAACAACAGATATCACATTGATTACTAATATTCTTACAAGTATTTTTGTATCAGAAGTTTTGAACAAAAAATATATTTAGATATGCAAATTAGATGTTATCTATATTAATATGTATCCATTTACATATTTTTGAAAAAATCTAGCCTTTGGATGCTGTTAGAATGTGAAAATACTGATTTGTTGTTGTTAAATTTTTGTTTAAAAATATACTTCGTACAGTTATTAAAAATGATTTTCAGGTCATTTTGTAATACAAAACCTAGCATATATCTAGCTATGAGCATTATATTAGGAAATCCTTTGGTAATATCCTTCAGAATAGGGTTAGAAATGGATATGTAAAATTTCATGAATTCTAGAAACTGCAATTTTTGGTTCTGAAGGAAGAAAAAAGCTGATTTTGAGAAAACCAGATTCAAGATTTGGCCTCACAATTGGATTACCCACTGAGATCTCAGAAACGCCGCATTTGCGGGAATGCTGTTTTTACTACAAAAGAAATAGACATATCTGTACATATTCCAGTTACATTCTACAGAAAACAAGCTTTTCAATGACAAGATGCAGTATGGCTGTGCCAAGTCTGGTCGAAGCTAAGCTGCTTTTGGAATACACAGTTAGATGGAAGTGGATGCAAAAGTGACAAAACACACTGAAATAAACCTATTTCTTTTGAGTTTTTACATTTTCTTGATACATTTTGTGATAGTTTTAAAGACATGCATTGCATTTTAGATGCAAATTATCCAAACATCTGAAAAATGATGGGCTTGGCGGGACCAAAATCATAATTTCTGCCTGTAGTGTCTTGTCATAATTGATGGATTGGTGATTTCTAAATGTTTCTGGAGATAAATGTGGTTTCTTGCAGTATCTTGTTCTGTTTGTTACTCACCGAGATGAGGAAAAAAACCATGCATGTCAGAGAAAAACCACTGGTGTAGCCCAGATACCCTACAAACACACAAATTCACCGTTAACTGCAATTATGTGTAAACATGTGTGATTAAACTGTATATATATATATATATATATATATATATATATATATATATATATATATACACACTGTTAGAAATAAAGGTACTGTACAGGTACATTTCTCATTCATCAAGGTACAAACAATACTCAAAGGTTCAACTGTGGTTTTAAGATCCAATTGTGTACCTTAAATAAGTTCTCAGCGCAAAAGTACATATTTAAAACAGAACAATAAAATAAAAAAAACTATCTATCTGTCTATTTATCTATTTATCTATCTGTCTATCTCTCTTTCTATCTATCTATCTATCTAGATAGATAGATAGATAGATAGATAGATAGATAGATAGATAGATAGATAGATAGATAGATAGATAGATAGGCATTTCTCAAAAGAAAAATATTTGACTGAAACAATATCCAGCATGTAGGCCTATACAGTGATATTCTGATATTCCCAAAGCTGGACTATTACAGCTTTACAGCTGGACTATTACAGCTCCTTCCTCTTCTTCCTATTCCCACTGCACTACGTCAAGGTCAGCACACATAATCATACAGTAACTGAAAATGTGAAGTTTTTGCAGCCCTAAAAAACCTTTCATGTGACTCTGAGATCACTCCACAGGCTCCAAGTCACTGCAAGAATCAAATTAAAATAAATCTGATCTTTGCATTCCAAGCCTCCAAAGGTATAGCTCCTGGTGAGCTCCAGTCTGCAGATCAGAATTACACCCTGCACGACAACTCTGATCTTCAACCACAGGACGTCTGGCAGCCCCTTCCACCAGAACAAAGCAGGCTCTTAGGGTGAGATCCTGCAGCTCTGCTGATCTGAAGTCAGCCTGTGCTGCTCACTCATTCTGCTTCTGATCTTTTTAAAGGATTAGTTTGGCAAAAAAAATCACATTTACACAATTCCCTCCATTCTCCAGATATATTAGCTAAACGCAGCCAAGACAAGCAGTAACACTTTACTTGCACCCTGCTATTTAACATCAACACAACCCTGCTATAGATATGTCACAGCAGATGTCACATGCAAGTTATCATGGCAGAGTATGTTTAGTAAAATTACTAGTAATATGACGGAAGCCATGATATCATAAGTAAAATGCCACCAAAAAATCAAATTTCAGAAACACACTTTTGCTTGGCTACATTTGTGGAATGGGTAAAAGTGTCCAATTACTTTTTTTGTCAAACTATTCCTTTGTGTCATTAAAACACTATAGTAATACTGCTAATCAGAGTATTCTCACTCTTGCACAAATAAATGTCTTTCAAAATGTGTGGCATTGTTTTATACATTTATACATTGCATTTTTTGTACTGAACATGTTTGAGGGAGCTTGCCTTTAGACAGTAACTTCTTGTTGAACATAGATAAAGAAGAATATGGTAAACTGAATATGTGATTAATGTGATGGAAAAAACATAATTATAAAAGAACATACCAAGCTGTCTCATCAGGGCAAGTGGTAGAATAATACAGATGGACACAATGATGATCAGGTAGTTGCCATTGAGGAACCATTGCCTGGATACAGATTAGGCCATTGAGAATTCAACCACACTTCACACAGTAAAGCTGTTTCTCTGAATCTTCAACATAGTATTTTTGTTGTGATTTGGATAAATGTCAAAATTGGGTGTAGTAAACTAACAACTCTAAAATTCTGCACCCAACATACTGAGCACTATCAGCTTCAATCTAGAGATATGTACCAGCTGCCTCAATTGATCTGGCAGACATTTGCTTCATTCTTAGGAAAATTACGGTCATTCTGAGAGCAAAAACCATAAAAACTGTTCTCTCTTACCCGCTGCTGTGCTGAAGGCCCAAAAAGGCCTGAATGACCAAAGGTAACTCGTATTTCACAATGAAGAGGTAGCTGGACATTGCTGAGAAAGAGAGATAGAGAGAGAGAAAGAGAGAGAGAGAGCATTATACAAGGCCATTACAATACCACATATATCTTTGAATATTGGTATGATTGTAAATACATAATGCACACTATATATATATATATATATATATATATATATATATATATCGCTGTTGTTGGAAGAAAACCTTGTATCTCCATTTTTGATGTTTTTCAGTTTTTGACATAATTTGAAAGTACTTGCTATGCGTTTACGTTGTGTGTAAATTTCATGATGAAAAGAAATGACCCAAAATGACTTGTAAAAAAGTCTGGTTCCATTGACTTACATTAAAAGTAAAGTAGGATTTTTCCTTTTCCTATAAAGTTCATTTTGGAGATAACACAGCAACAGCGTTATGTATATGTATACATATGTACATATTCATAAACATATATATATATATATATATATATATATATATGTGTGTGTGTTATTCAGCAAGAACTTGGACATGTCTTAAACTACATGATAAATACAATATATTATAACAACAATTAACAATAACAACAAAGTGATCCCAAACCTTTGAATGGTAGTGTGACAATGAACCACAGTCTTTCGTATTTATATTGTAAAAGTACAGAAATTAACAGAGACTTATATAACAGGTTAATCTAAACCTTAATAAGAAAAATAAAAAGGTTAGAGGGGCCAACACGGAATGTTAAGCAACACGACCAAGCCGTATGAGGCCCAGCCTGTGTCCGTTCAGCCTTCATCACGCATCAAACCTACTGATGGTAATCCTTTCAGATGTTATAAATCGATGAATATCGCAATGCTTGGTATCTGAGCTATCTATCTATCTATCTATCTATCTATCTATCTATCTATCTATCTATCTATCTATCTATCTATCTATCTGTCAATCAATCACTGGGGTCTACTTTTACATAATTAGTAGTAGGGTAATTAAACAGATATTCATACATTTATATAGAGTGTATGGACTGGGAAGTGAATGATCCTCTGATAAACAGAGTGAAGATCTGTTAGTCAGCATGTGACAGTGATCTGCTTCACTTACTTACCTCCGATGTTGTGCATTGTTATGACAACCGCAGCCAGTACTTTTCCAGGGTGTCCGAATGCTCGATTGCCAAGCTGCTCATATGCACGGATACCTGGCCACAGAGCAAAATAGTCAGCAACAGAGAATCCCTGTGCGAGACTTTTTAGTTAGACAACACCCTGAGATATGACTTATTATTTTTTTCTTTAATTCTGTCCTACCCACAACTCCAGCACTCCTCAGGAGGAGATGGACAGAGTATGACGAAAGAATAGCGATGCATGTCAACAAGAATCTGTGGAAAACACACAAATAAATGTATTTATCATAGCACATAAGAAAAGCTATGTCTTTCATATGAGCTCTGTTGAGATGATGCTGTGGATTTGGTGACTTTGGAAACAACACAGAACATCATTGCATACGGTCGTATGCAAAAGTTTGAGCACCTGGTTGTTGATTGCAAAAATATGTACTCAGAGAAAACACTTCTGCACATTTTACTGCACAATTACTCTTTACTGTGAAAAAAAATGTGGCTTGTGCAAACGTTATGGCACATTTTATATTTAAGTTTGTTCTCTGTAAATGTGTACTTATTTTCACTTAGATAATCAACAAAACATGTAATCTGACCGGGAGGTGTTGACACTTTTGCATAGGACTGTATGCAATGGTGTTTTGTGTTGTTTCCAAGATCTTTTTTTGTGTATGTACTTGTGAGCACTTCACTAGTGTGTAACCAGACCACTACACTGCTCAAACAGGGAGGCCTATGGGTCCTTTGCCAGCTGCACAGCTATATTTAATGCTGAAATTTGATTTGTGAACCTCGTGTTTCTTTATTCTCGCAGCTCACTTGATCAACACACATCTCACGCTTTCAGTGGCATGATGGTCAGTCTGGTTAACCTCAAATGCCTAAAATAGAATGTACATTTAAACTGCTGTGAGTGTAAGTGTAGCACTGTTGTGTTCATTGTGGGCCAAAAGTGAAATAGATATTAGAAGCTGCTGCTGAAAACCTGTAAAACAGCAACTAAAGTTAACATCTTCTTGCATAAACACTTCACATCCTGCCGCTATGCAGAGGGTCAGAGAGTGCACCTCAGCTGCAAACAAGCATAGGAAGTGACAGCCGTTTCCTATAGCTGCTCTAAATGCATAGCTCAAGTTCACATGATATAACAGCCTCTGTTGTAGCGCAGGTAAAAAGGTCATTAAGATCCTTCAGTAATGGGGGTCTCCTACTAGGTACTGCTTTCATTTTTCACTTCTTGACTTGTTTTGTCCCTGAATTCCATATTTGACAAGGGTGTTTACCAGTAGTGGTTTATGCACCAAGAACATTCAAATGACTTTAACATGAACACATTTAACATCACTAAGAATTAAACAAGCTTTGTGTTTGTAACTATGCCTTTAAGGCTGATATATGTAAATAGCTTCTGTTCTGATTGGCTGCCCTGCGTTGTCCTAATAACTTTAACATGAAAGGGCTAAACTGCTATAGGCCGAATACGTGGGTATATGTAAATAAATTTTTGTGATGTCACAAAAACAATACATTCAAATCAGTCTGTTTTAGCATTTTAGTTTCTACATATTGTCGCTGTCCAAAGACAAACACGAACCTTCAAAGTATTAACTTTACAGGAGAAGGCAAAAACATTCTTTACTTTTACCGTAAGCAAATGTATGTTTATTCCAAGTGATTTGGCAGAATCTGTATTGGACTATGCATCATTACATTTTTACACAATGTAAAGAACAGCTGCGCAAATGATGTAGAAGAATAAAAATCGACAAAAATGGAGAGATGTTTTTCATTGGACAGAGACAATATGAACTCTGTGGACTGGGAAGAGAATGGCGCATTCTGAAACTTTTACAAAATTGCAGTCTATTTCAAATGTTCATTTTAACGATACAGTAATGACGATTGTTGTGATTGTGGTTTTGTTTTCATTCCACAGAGCACAGTTCACTTTACTGTACATTTTACAGTAAAATTACTTAATTCACTCACACTGAAACAACTGGAGAATTTCTGTTGAAAGTGCAGAGTCTAAACTTTTATTCAATCACATTTGTGTTTGAAAGTGGAAGTGAATCAAGTTTGTTATCATTATTTTTTCTTTTTATTCAGTTTTAAGTTTTGATATAGAAAGAGTAAACAGGGTTTTCAGAAGACTTCATTAAATCTGTATTTTCCTTATTCCATATAGATTTCCTTAAAGAAAGTGCTGCATCTATGAATTACAGCATAAATGATAAGTATTGATTTTATCTTGTGCTGATTTAATTTCTATGAAAACCAGATGACAACCAGATGTGCATGTTTGTAGTGTTTTTGATGCAACGCTGACATGAATGAACTGATTATCCAGTGTAAAATACTCACAGGAAGAGAACGATACCAGTGTTGGACATGGCATACGCCAGACCCAGAATTCCACTGCCCATGATGGCGTTACTGAGGTTAAACACAGACATCCCAAATGAAGTCTTCCCTTCAAACTGCCAGAGACACAGAGAGAGAATCACAGTGTCAGCAACTGTAACAACAGAACTACAGTACAATAACATATGGTGAGAATAAAGGTGCTCTGCAATTAAACTAAAAATACATTTAGATGTAAAAAATCTACCATGGGGTCCAAAGTCTGAGACCTCTAGTGAAAAAGCTTCTATTTTGCATTGTTTTCTTATTTAATACAACATTTTTTGTTACAAATGATATTATCAGCAGAACAATTTGAGTGAAAAGTAGAATCTTTCAATGTTTACATGAATTTCAGAATTTCTCAGTATTTGGTGTGCCCCCTTTTGCTTTAGAAACAGTGTGTGCTTAAGCTGACACTGACTCCATCAGTTTGTGCAAAAGGCTGTAACTAGTAGATCAAATCAACACGAGAGTCATCTGAACACGTGTTTCAATGGAAGGAATAAGACCTTTTTAAACAAAGGCCTTAATACAGTCATGTTTACATTTCAGCTTTTATTTGTTTAAAATCTTTCAGACTTCTAAAACTTTGTTGTTTATTTCTATGTTTAAATAAATTAAAAAAAAAAACTTTCATTGCATTCTCAAAATTTGGACCTCACTGTATATTAAAAATGTTTTAAAGTATAATATTACACTACGATTTCAAATACAGTATGGTAATATTTTTATGATTTTGCACTTACATCTGTAAACTGAGGTGCTTTTTTCCCATTGCTTTTATGCGGCAAAAATTCCTCTTGCTCTGGTGACAATCTGCAAATTCATAAAAATTTAAATGAAAGCAAACCATTCACTTCAACTGGTCATTGAATTATTCTATTATTGGACCTCCCTTAAACCCATGTACGTTCTTTTTTCTTCATTTTTTTTCTCCCATTTTTAGAATGCCTTCAATTAGTTTTCTTTGTTTAGTCATTTATGGTGATTCCAATGAAGTTCATTTGAATACACAAAGTGTAGAGGAAATGTAGTTAAAGAGCTCATATCTATTTCTTTTACTGTGCCTTTAAGACTGGCATATGCTCTGTTCTGATTGGCTGCCCTGTATTGTGAGTCACTGGAAAAGCACTCAAAGCTGAAACACCCTTTTATAACTTCTGTATGAAGCGGCAGGGCTAAACTGGTATAGGCGGAATAGGGGGGATATATGTAAACGTGTTGGTTCTCATGTCAACATGAAAACATTGAATTAAAAACAGACTGTTTTTACATACATACATAGATCGTACAGACTGGAGGGTTAATGGTACATTTTGAAACTTTAACAATTTCATAAAAGCGAGGAGGATTCAGTTTTTCCAGCATATAGGCCCTTTAAATGTTACAGTTACTTAATGTAGGTTGCTAAGTAGTTGCTCATTTGACGTATGCATGTGTAAGGCATAAAACACCTAATGCATGAAATGCATTACTGTACTTATATATCATAGCTGGCAAAATGCTAGACCCCATGTTGCTATATGTCAGCTTTTTTTTGCCCCAATTAAACATGTGGATTCAGTTTGGTTCTGCTTAATACTTCACAGAGATTTGTAATCTTTTGTATAATCTTTAAATAATGTGCATATAATGTGCACTGAGCATGACATAGTGTTACTCCTCACATGGCTTGTGACATACAGTCACGTGCAAATGTTTGAACATAGCTGGTCAAATTATGTTTTGTTTGTCTACAGTGAAACAAGCCAAATATGATAATTTTCTGCAAATTATACAGGACAATTTCTATTTATTTGCTGACTTTAACACATAAAAAAACAATAAATGTATGCAATATATATCTATTTTTTTTCCAATATGTGATTCAGCAAAGGAGCAATAATTGTGTGTTCACATGTACAGAAGTGTGTTCTCTATAGAGGATATGGTAACTTATTTTTACTTAGAAAATCAACAACATGTCATTTGACCAGGGACACCCAAACCTTTGTATATGACAGTACATGCAGATATGAATACAATCGTCTAGAAATTTGGCCTTTAAATTATGTGATTTGATGAATTATGCTTAATGTGACCAACGACATGAACTAACAAGGTAAAAAAAGTCCATTTTAATAACAGGTTGACTTTAGCAATACAACATTGTCACAAAGGTTAGTGAAATGTAGTAACATAACAAAACCCAGGTAAGTCTTATTAATATGAGACCTGTGCATTTCTTTACTTCAGTGCCTACTGATGGTTGTACTTTGCATCCCAGTAGCATAGCAATTAATTAACATGAACTTATGTGCTAACAGGCTAAATACGCAGCTAAAGTGGACACTTACCCATCCTCTAGAGGCTGAAAGTCATGGTGGTGTCCGTTTGACAGTTTCTGAAGTTCCATCTTTTTTTAATCTTTTTCAAAATGTATTTTTGTAGAGAAGGAAAGGAAGTCTTGTTGAATGTTGTGGAAACTCTCTCTAGTGTGGATCTGAAAGACAAAACCACAAAACAGTATGCATGATTAATTTATTTACTATTTCACTTCAAACATCACATTAACAGTACCGTTTAACCCTCAGACGGCACAATTATTACAGTCAGCGTAACAAAAGTATGGGGTCATTTTATATCAGCTCCTTGAAACAAGAGAAGAAAATTCTGCTGAAGGTCTGGATTCTAAAGTACCACATTTGTGTTCTTAAGCAGAAGAAGAGATTTATTTGAGTTGAATAGAAACGCATTGTTTTGTGTACAGTGGTATTGTAGCTATGTAATTAAGTATTATTATTATTTTTTTTTTTTTCTAAATTGTAAAATTCAGCAAATACACAATAATTGTGCACTAAAGGGTAATTTATTCCATGTGGTTTGATTTTGGCCTAAATATATTTGTAGATATATGCAGGGTGGAGCGGTACACTGTCAGAAAAAAGGTACAGGTAAATTTTTCATTTGTCGAGGTACAAACAGTGTAAATGTACCTTCAAAGGTACAACAACAGTTTTTAAGGTCCAGCTGTCCACCTAAGATAAGATGTTCACAGGACAAAAGTACATATTTGTACCTTTTCGTAATCTGATGTTTTAAAACAGAACAATAAAAGTTTGGGGACCAAACCAGGTGTGTGGAATCAACACAATTATATATATAAATATTATAAATATATAAATTCAGTGGAATATGGTATGAATTATGTTCCATAACTAAAGTAACTGAAGACATGCCCCTGAGGGTACCACCCCAGTGACAAGAGGGATACTTCCCCAGTGACAGTTCAGTACCTTTTTCTAAAAGTGTACATGCAGGGCATTGTAAGGCAAAATATAATGGAAATAACATATTTTTTCAGATTTTCTACTATTTTTACCATTATCAACATATAAAATATTTCAAATGCATATATAAACTCAGAAGACGTGTAGGTTGACTGGTCTTCTTAGATAGCAAAAAGGACGACTATATTTGTGTGAATTTCCCATTAAAATGTGCTGTAGTGTGTTCTCTGTAGAGAATGTGTGAACTTATTTTCACTTCAACTTTCAAATCAACAAACCATATAATTTGACCAGTGGAGCCCAAACCCTTGCATACAACTGTATCATGACTTAAACATGACTCACTAAAGACATTCACTTTCCTTTATATTGTTTTTTCTGAGACAAATGAAAGGTCATTGTTAAAGAGCTGTGGGTGCTCTCGAGGTAGACATGTGAGGCTCCCATGTGCTTTTCTCACTCTACAAGACTGATTGGTGCACTGGAGCTCATATTTCAGGAGAGGAAGCGAGCATGGCTCTCAAGCTGTCTGTAGTTCCAGCGTTGCATTGAGCTGTCCTTTAGAAGCTGCATTTCACTGGCGATCTCAACACGTCATCTGCTTATTCTGCAATAGCTGCTCCAGTATGTGCATTATTTAAGGCATGAGGCCCATTATAGCACGGCATATGAGGCCTACCACTCAGCGTTTTGTTTTTAGCACAAGTGATAAAAATCAGGACAAGAGGCAACACGTGCTGCCACATGCTGAATACAGTTAGCTACTGTAGGACTTTCTCAGCATACGGTCTCACCACATATGGCTGTATATGGAACCTTAAATGGGCCCACATCCTACAGTTTTTCTAGTATTTCGTTGTGTTCCCGGAGGTCCTCTTATGGCATTTGTTGGTTTTATGTAACAAATCCATTTTTTGTGACCATTTTCCAACCACGCTTTATCTCATAGACAGGCTGTTTTTGTTACTGTGCCTTTAACTGTGTTGCCACAGTCCAAAGTAATTACATCATCTACAGGAAAAAAACACTTAAATATGATATTTTTCCGCACTTTTAGGGCACAATTTCTATTTATTTGCTGAGTTATATATACATACATACATATACATATATATGTATATATATATATATATATATATATATATATATATTGTCCCTCATTCAAAAGCAGTTTGGACTGAAACACTACCTATAACCTCACCACAAATGGGTGGTGACTTGTGTTGGTTTTTGTGACATCACAAAAACAATAAAATAAAAAAAAAAATTAAAATTGGACTGTTTTGCTGCCTATTTGCCATATACGAATTGTGAAGTGAATAGTGCGTTCAACATCACCGTCTTTTGTTTCAAAAAAGCAATTTTCCATGATAGTGTCCCATTAAAGTTTCAGTGTCATTAAGAAGTCAAATATTGTGAGTAGTAGAGAGACTTTCTTCCTCAAGAGATCTTTTTTATGGGGAAATGAACCCTAGGATTTTATATACAACCTCTTTAGCTAGGAATCTGAGGCATGATGGGCTTCATATGCAAATTCAAAATATAGACTTTCAGAGCTCATTGCCAGTATATACCTTCTTTGTCATTCAAATGCTGCTTGGCAGTCTGTGTTGGAAATGTAAGGTTTTTACACAGTCTTTTTCCATGCTGATAAGTCCTTGTTACAACACAGGTGTGAGGGCAGCTCTTCAAATGTTCAAACATTGGTCGGTAAGTGGAAAAAGTAGAAAAGCCACGCTTCCCCATAAGGCACTGACGGTTGTTAATGCTGCTGTTCCTATGCCACTTTTCCCTGAGGGGAACACATCAACCCCTGAGCTGACAATGTCTCTGGACTAGCTCTGGTCAACAGCCACTGCTTAGCACTGTATGACAAATGCATTGGCACATGGGTCCTGCCTGAAAACTATTGATTTAAAAAGTCTGCAGAAGGTCACTATATTTCACACCGGTCAGAGTGCCATTATCACGTTATTCATTAACTCAACAGGGCATAAACGAACACTGACCGCAGACTTGCTGGAATGACAAAAAAATGAAGACGATTTCATTGTGTGTGTACGTGAATTATTTCATAGGCCCTCAAAACATGAGAAAAAAAGTGTAGACAACATTCCCTCTCCCTCCGTCCCTCCACAGGGTCAACAAAGTTGCCTCTATTGAGTTATTTCGGATGAAAAATATAAACAAACATCTCTGTCTGGGCGGTGGCAAGACGCTGAGAAAAGCTGTGGGAAAACTCAACAGAGCACATCACTGTTTGATATGAAATTCACACTCGCATGCAGACCAGCATTTTTCCAGGTACTGGAGTTGGATACGTGGCTCTGAAGGCTGGAGAAGCTTGGAGAGCGTCCAGCAGGGGCTGCCAGCTGCAACACCCACACTACTGTCTGATCTCAGCCTTGTAGACCAACGTCCAGCAAGCTTGATAAGATTTGTTTTAGCAACATGCCAATAACACGTGGCCTTTCACATGCATGTCTTTCCTTTGGCAAGAATGAATATGATACACTGTGAATCAAAAGTATGGGAACACTCTGCAAACCCTGCAAATGTCTTGTTAGCATAAAATTAAGCAGTAAGCCAAAAAAGGCCATGTTACTGTGATTTTATCACCAGTAAGGGGAGTTCTTAGGCAAAACTTAGAGCAATGTGCCTAAAGTCCTCTTACTCAGGGTAAATTCACTGTTGCTTATTCTTTTAATAAAATGGCAACAACACAAATGTGATAAAATACCCACATTTTTTTAATTGAATACTTAAGCAAAAATTACTAATAAGCAGAATTAACAATTCTTCTGCCAAGAAATGTAGTTTGTTTAGAGCACACGTGTCAAGCTCCAGTCCACGTGGGCCAAAACCTGCAGACTTCAGCACACTGCCTCATTAAACACACCTGATTCAGCTCATCAGCTAATTAGCAAGGCTTTCATAAACTGAATTCAGAGCATAAATGCTATTCTCCACACCACTTTGGCCCAGAGGGTCCCCAGTTTGACATGTCTGGTTCAGAGGATTCTATTGTGGCCAAGCAACCAAGACTGATGGAGGACGAAAAGAACTTTTTACGTCATAATAAAAGTTTTTAATGCAGTATTTTTTCCATTTATACCAAGTTTTCACACACCCAATTACCACTGCAATTGCCATTAGTGTCTCAATATGATTTCCTTTATGTGTTAGCATCAAGCTAACAGGACCACACATTCATTTTCCCACAGACCTAACAAAAAACATATGCATTTGGAGTGTATGAGACACTCAGGCAACATCTTCTTTACTCTTTATATTGAAGTTTTACAGAGAATCATAAAAAAAGCTTCAGTTCAAATCTCAACAGAATATTGGCACTGATTATAAATGGAGGAGCAGTTTAAGCTGCTAGAAAAACCAGCATGAAACAGCACAGCTGGTCATCAGCAAAACCAGCATTTGTTATGTTTTGAAGGCTGGTATGCTGGTCAGCACAGCAGCAATGGAGGTTATAATGCTGATCACCAGCGAAACCAGCATATATTGTGGTTCAGATGCTGGTATGCTGATCGACCAGCCTGACCATGCTGAATGACTAGCTAAACCTGCACCAGACCAGCACTAGACCAGCACAAACCAGCTTAGACCAGCAAGGAATTCAATGCTGTTTTCAGCAGGGAATCCTGTTAGCTGTCCTTTAGCCTGTTAAGCCTGCAGTCTTTTAGTCCGTTAATTCTCAAGAAAAAAAAGTTGTCAGTTCTCAGTTTAAACTAAACAGCGTTCTCACTTTCTCTGCCAGTGCACTCGGTGGTTCATGTGCACAGCATAACAGTCCATTCACAGCACAGCGTTTTTTATTGAGTTGGCGCACTAATACAGAATTGAGGAGGGGGCGTGCTTTTACAACAGCTCTAAATGTGGCTCAGCCAATCAGATTTTAGTACTAGATCTGTTTTATAACAGCTAGTCATGAATGCTTAGCATGTTCATCAAAGTGTCTTCTTTGTTATGAAGAGCAGGTTTTACCTACATAATGATTTGGCTGTTTTCTTTTCCAAACTGTTGTTAAAAGCGTCGATCCGAACCTGAACGATTACAGGTAATGACTATTCCATATGGGTTCTAAACGCAGCAGCACATGTTTAATGAATCTAAATATATCAAGGGAAAAATACACCCTGCATAGATATCAGGTTCAGCTATAAAAAAATATATGATTTATGGCTCACATTCACTA